AGGAGCTACTAAGTCTTAAGGAGCTAACAAGTCTTAAGGAGCTAACAAGTCTTAAGGAGCTAATAAGTCTTAATAAGCTAATAAGTCTTAATAAGCTAACAAGTCTTAATAAGTAGTAGAGTCTTAATAAGCTAACAAGTCTTAAGGAGCAGTAGAGTCTTAGGAGTACTCTAACTCTTAGTAGCGCTTCGACTGCTAGAGAGGAAGCTACTCTTTTCTCGACGGCCTTAGCGCCTACTCTTTTCTCGACGGCCTCGGTGCCTGCTCTTTTCTCGACGGCCTTAACGCCTACTCTTTTCTCGACGGCCTCGGTACCTGCTCTTCCTCTTTATCGGTATTAGGGCCGTACTATTCTAGGTATTCTTCTACTACCGTAGCACTAATATTCTTACAAATAGGTACGCTAAAGTTTGTACTACGTAACTAAGTAGGCTAGGAAGGTTCTAACTCTTAAGCTCGTTGCTTTAGTTCGGTAGATAGAGGTAGTGTATTACCCTATACGTCGATAGCAGGGCTAGTCTTCCGTATATTAGTAAGCGGGTATGCTAGTTCCCTAAGTGCTACTAACCTTCTTTCCGCTAGTACGTATGCTTCCCGTCTGTAACGTACGTAACTTCGTAGTAGCTTTAGAAAGTAACTGCTTTAGAGCCTTAATATAATGTATAGTGTCCTTAAACTAACCGGCCTTATTCTAGTCATTTCTGTGGTTTGTAACCTCGCGCTAGTTGCGTTCTAGAATTGGAACATTAAGGCTAAATAACTATTGCTCGATGTTGGCTACTTGTTGCTTTAGGCGGTCGGCCTTTGCCCTCTAGCGCTCCTTTGTCCGTCGATTGTATATAGCTCGGTCTCCTACTATTACGAGTAGTCGTTAAGGGTTATACGTAGGGTAGTATTGAAGATCTATATATAGATAGTGTCTCCCTATACTTAGCGTTTCTACTATACGGGGTTAATCGGCGGGCTACCCGACTAGGGAACTTTAATCCTATAAAGCACACATACGCTTTATTGTTCTTAGTGGAACACTATATAGAGGTGTCTGTATACTAGCACCTCGCTAAATCTCGGTTTACTCGCTTTATAGAGAACCTACAAATATTAACGTTTTTATATTCCCGCTAAGACCTATAAATTTATATCCGTTTAAGGCTTAATTTTAGGCTTCTTAGAATATTTAGTACCTAGTCGCCTCTACTACTTTAGCAATATCGCTATAATAGAAGAACTAGTACCCGCTAGCGCTACTAAGGGCTATACTAACTTTAAGGCTCTTTAAGAAACGCTATTCTTTACTAAGAAGGATATACTATTACTATATAACGATTTCCTAGAAAGTATAAAGCTAATATCTAATATATATAGTCGTAATAAGGTTACGGAGATAAAGTAGGATCGCGCTAGTAGTAGATATATATCTAAGGTATACTATCGCTATATTAAGTCGAAACGGACGGTAGCGAATAAAAAGGAGAACTATATAGAAGATATTACTAGAGGCTATTATAAACCCGAGTTTACTACTAATAACTATTATAAGGTTAGCTTAGTAGTTAATATATATTAAGATAGTAAGTAAGGCTCCTTTATTAATATTATTATTAAGCGAACCGATTATTACTATTAGTATATCTATATCCTCTAATAATACGATATATAGCGATCGAACGACTATCTTAGAGAAATAGGCTAGAAGTTACTAGATTAGTCGCTATAGACTAGTCGAGTAAAGGACTTCCTTATAAATAACTATAGCGATATTAGTTATAAGTCGACTAGTTATTAAATACTATATAACCTTAGTCGCTAGTCGCGTAACTATTACTACGATAAGCGATATATTATACCTAGTAAGAGCGCTATTTCGAAGTAAATTAAAGAGGCGGAAGAACGTACGCTCGAGTATAGTTATAGATATAAAGTCTTTATTATAACTACCTTAAAAGGGCCTAAATATAGTATAGTATATACGACTAAGAAGGGTATTAAGTTACTAAAGAGATATAGCGAGTTCTTATCTTAAGACGCAATATACGGCACTAATAACGCTAGCTTCTACTTAGTTAACCTCTTTATACGAGATAAGGATAATAACTAACTACCTATTACTTATATACTCGTTAAGAGCTAGTATACTATCGTTCTTACGACTAGCTTCTAGTACTTGTCTTCGTAGGCCGACTATAAGAAGCCTAGTAGTTAGTATCTTAAATAGACGATTATTAATAACTCTACGAGCAAATAGGCTACTTTCTAGATTAGCTTTAATAACGAGGTTACTATATTCTTATACTAGCGCTATATCGTCGAGATAATAAGGAAGAATTTTAGTATTAAACGTAGCTATAAGAAGATATAAGATACTCTATTTAGTGCTCTATATTTTATAGAAGATAGTAAAGAGGCTCGTTAATAGATATAGCTCGTAGAAGACGTATTTACGAGCGAAGCTCGCCTTATAAGAATAAAGGTACTATAGTAGCTAAAATATACGAGAAGCTACTATATAATTCTCTAAATTTTAGAAGCTAAAGATCTAATTAGCTATATTCTATACGAACTAGTAGGACGGTAGAACTCGGCCTCGGAGAATGCCTTAGGTACCTAGACTAACGAAGAATAGTAACGACGACGAAGAAATCGCGACGACGACGATAACGAAAGGAACGTAACGACTAGCGAACCGCGACGACTAGTAAAACGAGTAGCGAACCGCGATATATTAGGGACCTTTAGAAGTTAATATAAGAACCTAAGTAAATAAAGTCTCCTATCCTATATTAGTAAATCTTATATAATAATTATATAATATTCTTACGTATATAGTATCGCTAATCCGCTAGCGCGAGGCCTACTTAGCGTATACTCGGAGAAGCTCGTACCCGGAGAAGCTTAGTAGTTAGTACGGCGGATACCGTACGGGGCTATCGTACTTAGTTAATAGTAAACACTCTGCCCTACTCTAAAAAGGCACGGTTTAGTTCTACTATCTACTACTACGGTTAGTAGAGGGTGTTCTATACGTTGCTATAGACCTATTTCCTAGTAGTTAAAGTTCTACCGGCTTCTAAATAAGCGCTAGCTAGTAACCGTTATATAAAGAATTAATATAGCGCTTTTTACGGACCTTTAGAAGAGGCTACTTTATATATAACTAAAAGCGGTTTAGTACGGTAAGGAGCCCCTATTCTAGACCTTCTAGGGTATAGACTTTAGCTATAGACCTAACCTATAGACCTAACCTAAAGCTATAGAAGAAGCTACTATAGTTACTATAACTACTACAATAGCCGTTACTATTACTAGTAAATACCTCGAGGAAGATATTAGTAATAAAGAGCGGTAGGTATAACTAGAAGGTAAATCTATACATAAATACTAGCACTGCTAGTTAAGGCGTAGCCGACTATTTAAACTAGCGAGAATCTCTAAAAAGGAGCGCTTTAACCTCGATAGTTATCCGGAGGCTAATATTAACGTTACGAAAACTTTTTTTCTAATCGCGTCGATTCTATCGATCCTATCGATCCTAAGCGATCCTAAGCGATCCTAAGCGATCCTAAGCGATCCTAAGCGACCGAGTCGCGACCCGACTCGCGCCTAGATCGCTTAGGATCGATAGGATCGACGCGATCGACGCGATCGATAGAATCGATATAGTAAATTTTTATATATATAGGATCGCTCTAGGTCGCTCGTAGTCGCAGTCGTTAGTAGTGTTTATACTATTCGTATAGTGCTATATTAATACTTATCGACTCGTCGACTCGGTCGTATTAGTCGACTCGGTCTAAACTAGAATATACTAGTAGTACTATAGTTTTAAGTATATTACTATTATATTAACCGTCGTTACTATATATCGCTGTATCCTGTCTTATACGTTCTCTATAAACTATAAAATTATTCTTCGCCGCCTTAGTATTATTATCCTCTATATTTCAATAGGTGGTGGTGGTTGATGCCGACTTTGAAGTTGGATCGATGGCAGGGATGTCGATCGAGAGCTCGAGCGACAAGGTTCGCGCCAGAGCAGGGATTCCGGACGCCACACAAAATCGACCACACCAGCAACACCACCTCCCTTCATATGGAAATGTTCAATGCAATCGTGAGTGAAGGATCACGCTGATAATCATGCAGAGACAAGCGAGGGAAGCCCACTGACACCGAAACAACACAAGCAAGTTACGCGTCTACGACACGCCAGCTTGTCTGCTAGTTCTACCCACCAGGGCGCAGGTCATGGGAAGCACGATACGCAGGCGAGAAGTTCGCACATTGACACAGCCCTCACAGACTTGAGGCATGGACATCCACACAGCACACTCGGGTCGACAATTGTCTGCTGCCATCCTTCAGCTTCTTGGCCCACCCGTTCAGGACCTCAAAGCTCATGGAAGCACTCCATGGCCCGATGGCCCAAGACGTTCCCATCACATCTCGCAACCAACCGTCGGCAAAAAGGTCGAACCTTCTAAGTCTATTAGAGGGATTGTGAAGTTTCTCGGAAGCCAAATGACTCGAGATCCGAAGCATTCGTGGTCTCTGGGAAGTCAACCGCTCGGTGATCGGCCGTAATAACAGGCTGCTGATGTACTATTCGTAAGTCAAAGATCAGTATTGGCTTCAAGTCACTTCTGCGAAACAGCGGTTCGTCGAGTGTCTTGGATGCATATTGATTGCCTGTCTGCTCTCACGCTCCGTCCGTTGATGTAGATTCTGATTCCCGTGGGTCATTTTCAATTGTCGCAGCCGATTGAACGTAATGTGATTCGAAGGTCAGCTCTGTCCGCGTGGCATGCCGTGAAAGAATCGCACTACTCATTGGTCAGCGTAGTAGCTGACCGTCATTTAGAGCGGTGCGACGAAACCATGAGCACTTCGGCCGCACGCAGATGCGACAGAGAGGCCAGTTGTGCTTCTCCCGGTGCTGTGATGATGCCTCGCATCTGCCAAATCTGGTATTGTAGCTAACCAAAACAAATGTTCGTCTTCATACAACTCAAGTGCTTGCTTCGAATCTATGGTGTCTCTTGCTGCTGCAATATGTACACTTCAACCTCCGTTGAACTCGTGTCATGACCTACTCCTTCCCTGTGGTATCTCATCTATTTCGGTTTAGGCTTGGTGATTTGCATGTTCTCGAGGTCCTCGCGCTCGGTCTTTTCAGCTTCGATTTCGCGGATGATGGGTGAGAGGTATGGGATATCCTGAAGGAAGACTTAGTATAAATGGAGTTTTCAGTCTGCCAAGAATATGAAATGCGCACCTCATCGGCCTTGGTCCATTCCTGCTTTGGTAGCAATTGATGTGCTAGGGAGCACTTTTTGTCCATTAGCCATCACAACGCCTCATTTCTCAATCTCTTCTATCAGTCCTACCTGGAACGCTCGTCGCATGCGGAAAACACGGTCATATGCTTCCTTGGGTGACAGACGCTTGAGAGCGAGTTGCACCTCTGGGCTCTCCTCCGGAATCAAGTCATCGGCTCTGCAGCAGCCATTGAGTCAGCACAAGTCTCTCGCGCGCTCGCAATCGCCATGACTCCTCCATTCCCTTCAATATCTTTCGTGATAGGTCCCATACCTCAGACCTAGCTTCCGATAGCCAGAGTTATCAAAGTACCACTTGGAGAGCGGCTCCATCCAGCGCTTGAGCCATGGGCGCTTCATAATCTGCGGTGCGATTGAAGGGACCGACATGATGGGCGATCGATATCTGTATCTGTGGAGGAGATGTGGGCGGCGGCGTGGGAGGTCTTCAATGTCTCCGTTGAAGCTCTTGACGTTTGGACTTGGACTTTCCGTCAGCGGACCATCCCGAAGATAATCACGTGTGATTGGTGGACTGCATCGGCGGTTGTCGGCGATGGTCGGCGGGTTGAAGCTCACGCAAGCAAGCAACAGAGATCAAGCTGCTTTGGCCGCAACTCTGATCCACCCGACCTCATTCACTCAACATTTGCACAAGACGATCTTGTGACAGTCGCAGCACGTGCGCTTGCGATTGTCGCCCGTGCACACCGAGTCTGCCTTGCACTTATAAACAAATGGCGACCGCCGCTTGATATTTCCGCTCCAGCCCCGCTTTGGCTTTGTATGACCGGAGAGCAGGCACGAAGATAAGAGAAAGCTGCGTCGCAGTCACCACCGGGCATACCCTCGGCGCGTGTTTCTGAATACTCGAGTATGAGCTCGCCATTCGACCGTCGACGGTAGCCCTATCGATCGGGTCATGCAGAGGAGCGGCTCTGCTATGTCGTCTCAAGATGACCATGGCCCACCTACGAATTCCGCTTCGAGTGCAAGCACGAAACAGAGTCCCGCCCCTCTACGGCAACACACCCCATACCCCACGCTGGCAATATGGACGACCAAGCTCTCGAGTGCCAGTGTCAACAGCTTCTCTGGAGCAATGGCAGGAATGGCCAGTGGCATCGTGACCTGCCCATTGGACGTGATCAAGACCAAGCTGCAAGCGCAAGGTTCTTTTGCCCATCCGGGCCTGAAGCACAAAGGCCCACCTGCGAGCGCTGTATATTCAGGCATGATTGGCACGGCCAGGACAATCATACGGCAAGATGGAGTGAAGGGCATGTATCGCGGCCTGGGACCAATGCTGCTTGGATACTTGCCGACTTGGGCTGTCTACATGGCCGTGTACGACAGCAGCCGAGAATACTTCTACAAGCATGGCTATGGCGAGAAGGACAGAGACAAGTGGCTTGCTCGCGTCTATGCATCACTGGCTGCTGGTGGATGCAGTACCTTGGCTACCAATCCAATATGGGTGATCAAAACTCGCCTGATGTCGCAAGTCTCCCAGGCAGCCACGGACGGAGCCCGAACACCTTGGCATTACAGCAGTACTCTTGACGCAGCTCGCAAGATGTACGCATCTGAGGGTCTGGCGGCCTTCTATTCTGGCCTGGCACCTGCCCTGCTTGGGCTTACGCACGTGGCCATTCAATTCCCGCTATATGAGTACTTCAAGCAGCAATTTACGGGGCTTGAAATGGGAGCCACTGCGCCCGAGCACGGTGAAGCTGCGAAGAACACTGCCGGAATCCTGGCTGCCACGTTCCTTTCTAAGCTCTGTGCTACTTCCGCCACATACCCTCATGAGGTCCTTCGAACCAGGCTGCAAACGCAGCAGAGACACCTACCAGTTGAGCACGCCGATCATGGAGTAGGTGTAACCAAGCACAGCCAGAGTATCAACCCTCTCAAGCGTATAGCAAACACTGACGGTGTGCCGTATCAGCCGCGGTATCGAGGTGTGCTCAACACTTGTCGGATCATACTGCGGGAAGAAGGATGGAGGGCATTTTACAATGGGATGGGCACGAACATGATCAGAGCTATTCCAGCGGCCATGACCACCATGCTTACCTTCGAATCGATAAAGAGCGCGATCGGTCGTATGCAGGAAGAAGGCAGAGAGCTGCAGAAGGAAAATGGTTGAGGCAGCGAAGGACTCTAGATTTGGCATTGGTGGTGAGCTGGGAAGATGAAATTGCACATATGGGCGGCGTACTTGGTTACTCAGCTGAGCAAAGCGAGCTCCCGAGTAGGCATTCTTACGTCCACGAGACGCAGGCTATATACCACTCTTGGAGCATATGAGAACCGCATTTGAGACGCGACTGACAAGCGTGGCGTTTGGGCGCAGTACAGAAAGCCAGCAAGAAGCGGCAGCTTAGGTGGACATCACTCGTACGTACAATTTGAATTCAGATCAATTGACAGCTTATTGCTACGCATTTCTTTCATTTGAGCATCACTTCGTCGTCACATGCAATTCGTGCCGTACCTGCCGACCGCACGTGCGTGCGCTGAGATAGGCTTAAAAGGCCTCGACTTCTGGACAACACATCTCTTCCACAACCACGACATCACAGTCAACCATGCGCCATTTCACACGACACCGAACCAGCTCCAAGCACCAACATGATGACTATTGGAAGCTCCAGTCATATAGCAGGATGACTGCTCAGCAGATGAGGGAGTTACTACATGTTCGGCACTATGCGGTCGGCAAGAGCGATGGCAAGGACAAGCTCGAAGAAGCCCTACTTCGCTCCGATTGTGGCATGCTGTCCTATGCTGACAAGAGCGATGACAATCTGCGAGCCCTCATCAAGAGTCGCGGGGTCGATGCTAGCCAAGTAATCTACGGCAGTAAGGTCGGGTCGCGTGGTGATCTGCTCTCTTTGCTGAAGGATGCCGACATGAACCCACGGTTCGAGAGATTCTCAGATTTGCCGCCTGAGCTGCGGAACAAGGTGAGAAAGCAATGACTTCAGAGGACCCCGTATCGGAAGCTCATCATTTTTTAGGTCTATGAACATTATTTCTCAGAAATGCAACAGCCGCTGTACTCGCCAACAGAACCTCCGATCGCTCGAGTCAATCGCGCCATTAGGAAGGACACCATTCAGATGTTCTATCACAGTTGCACCTTCAATCTGGTTCTAAAGTTGCCGAAGACGGGGAACAATTTTCACGGCCTTCGCTCTCTTGAAGCCGATGCTCAAACCCTGACGATTCCAAGTCAAATGCGTCTCTTCATGAGTAGTATTTCTGCGAAACATCTGGCCTGTATTCGCCGACTGAATATTCAGGTGGTACCATACCACGAAAAAGAGTCTGCCTTCCAAGATGCAGCGAATATGGCGCTGTCGATCGAGATTGCTGAACAGGGCTTGACGTTTGCCATCGAACCGAAGCAGCTCTCCAGCATACTGAAGCACCATGGGACTACGCGGGGTCGTGGTATGTTCCTGACTGTGCTATCAGATGTAGCGGCGCTGAGGCGACAGCACCTGGTGAGGATTCTAGTGCAGAAGATCGTGCGAAACATCGTAGCGCGAGACGGCAAGGCGAGGCTGAAGTTGGACGATCTCTACAAGGTTAGAGCGGCGATGGAGACAGGGTTGTAACCAGGCATTTAAGTAGCTGTCAGAGTTTTGGGGCGAACGGGTAGGGGTATCTTGGACTGAGCATGAGTTTTGAGACATGGTAGGTATACACAAAAGTTACTGCTTCTGTCTCGGCCGGCCTCTGGCCATCGCTCCATGGACGACAACTTTGCCATGCTGCCAATGTTTCAGCCAGATGCTTGTCTGCGAGGAGGATCTCGAACGACATCAAGCAATCTTTTCTATATTGGCCGGGCTTTGCTTTGGATTGACGCATCATGAGATGGAAACTCTCTCGTTCGATCGCCCCTCCAGTGCTTTGAGACGCGGCTAGAAATGCAGTTTTCCAACTCGCGAGAATGTGTCGATACCTTCCCTGTGCCTGAAAAACTGACACGCAACCACTCTGTCTATCTCAGGGGCACACCGAAACGACATCAAGCTCCATCGCAGGCTTTTAAATTTTCTGGAATGTAACGAAAGCCAGATAATCTGTTCGGCCCGACATCAGTCTAGGCGACATCTTCGCCATACGGAGGGAGATTGAGGACGCGGTGCTGCAGATGTCGACTTGATTGACCAAGAGTGCAAGGGGGCTGGAAGTATGAGGATGGATACGCTAAGGAAGGCTGAAATGTCGACTGTCGTGCGCACTGGAAAGAAAAACACAGGGAGCGAGATAGGTTGCATTTCATTTGGATCTAATACCTAGCTGTGAGTACGCGCCGCCCAATAAGGTACTGAAAATTCCAGTAGAGAAGGTCTTCGCACCTTGATCTTCACCCCAAGGACTTTTCCAACACTTCACGTGTGGCTTGGCAAGCATGCAGCGGCCTCCTTTGTGCGGACCCATGTCCGTTTGCGTTTTAGTTCAATGCCGCGTCCGTGCATTCGAGTCTTAGGCTGAAGCGAGGCTGCGGGTCCAGGATCTTTGTCTACACACACTTTCCTTTCATGCCGAGACTTGCGAAAACGAGACACGGTCAACAACACCCCCTCTGGTCGAGTCTCAGTCGCCTCCAGATCGGGACAACTCCAACAATCTGCACCGACCCCCAGTCAGATCAGACACTATGGGTCCTCGACCAGCGTTTGGCAAGTCCGACTCGTACTGGCGAGTCTTTGATGCGGGAATAAGGCATGCTTCACGTACTCATTGGAAAGTAGCATTCACTAACAAGCTCTAGCGACGAGTCGAATGTCACCCTGCCACAACTGAGAGCCAAGCTTAGAACTGGCGGGTACATGGTACCAGCTAGCTCGACAAAGGCGCAAGTCCGCGAGCTCAAAGGGCGCATGGACCGCGACCTGCTGGATTATGCTCGATGCTCAGAAAACGAACTCTACAAGTTCGCTTCCGAGCGCAACCTCATCACACCAAATCAAAAGGACGCAAAGGGCCTTTCCGTTCAGGCTCTCCGCCAGATCCTCAAGGCGGCGGACGACAATCGGTCTTTCCACATGTTCCTCGCTCTTCCAACCGCGATCCGCATGACGGTGTATGATCACTACATGGCAGAATTCCCTCTTGTTCTGGAGCACCCGACCCAGCCACCCCTTACGCGAACCATCAAATCAATCCGCAACGAGGCCATGCCGACCTTCCACAAGGCGAGCAAGTTTAAGCTCACCTTCACCACCCTTCGTGCGCCGTACTCCGGCCACCAGACTCTCGCGTTCTACCCCCACCATCCTTCATCGCACGCATACTTCAATGGTCTGTCCGAGCAGAGTGTTGGCGAGATCCAGAATTGGATCTTGGAGTGGACCACGACTCCCGTCTATCAATGCCATATTCACTTTACTGGCAAGAAGGCGCAGACCCAGGTTTGGTATGAGGGTGGGGGAAACGTTGACGACAACACGAAGCAAGCAATCGTGGACGCGGTGAAAGAAGTCCTTGATGCCGTGGCCGACGCAGTCCCACAGCGGAAGCTCAAGCATACTGACATCATGGCGATGAGGAGGAAGTGGGAGGCCATTGCGTTCAGCGACGACAACGGGAACTGAGACACTGAGCGATCTCAGCATCACCCAGGTCCTGTCATCATGCACGGTACAACGGAGCGGATCAGCGAATCCATTTTGGTGAGCGTGGCTTTGCTCACTCTCTACCTGGCCCCTTCACACTCAGCATCGTCACCAAGCAATCACAATGGAAAGCAGCCCAATACCACCTTCGTTTTCCCCGATCCCGACACTCGCCTGCCTCACCTATCCGAGCACAGCTCGGAGCTCTACATTAGACCACGACCACCAAGACGCAGTTGAGGCCATTTCTGAGCAACCACACTCGAGAGCATCGCTAGAAGTTATCGATCCCGACCCATACCCGTTCGCCCTCCTCCCAGCATACACGACCTCACGGAGCGTTCATCTCTACACCCAGCACCAGAAGCACCGCCGAGTCTCGAGCGTGGAAGCTTAGCATATCTCACACATTCTGTCTCACTCCTACAAGAGGGATGGCCTCTACCGAAAGATCAGTGTTCGCAAGCTTCTGACTCCTGGTGCCGACCGGAGCGTGAGTGTTTCGTAAGCTACGGTGAAGACTCACCAGAAGTTCCCTCCGTTTGCAAGTGGCTCCTATGCACGCACTCTCGAGAGGTGGACGTTCACTGGCAACGCAATGGGGGAAGACTGTTCGGGGCGCGAAGTACAAGGAGTGAGATCAGGCTGTGCAGAGACATGTGAGGGTGGAAGTCATTCAAGTGCATGTCACTCGGTTTTGCAAGAGTACTGACTGATAGCGATTTGTTGTTGTCCACACATTGATTCTTTGGCATGTATGAAAAAACGACCAAAAAACAAAAGTCAATCGGGTGATAGAAAGAAGCGGCTATCAGAGGAAATTGTGGACTTTCTTTGTCTTGGCTGCAGAGGGCAGTGCAGCTTTCACGATTGGAATCATCGAGGAATTGCCTTGGAGATTTGAAAAAAAAACTTGTTGCAGGAGGCCTCGTCACCGACGACACTATCCTTTCTTCCACTCCGTGAGGGGTCTATGGTAGCAAACAACATCAACTCAATCTGAACCGCAGGGTCGCTGTTCGAATTCCTGGGAGCCCCTTAAGGCATCAATCACGAGGCAGAATGAAGTCTCTATTGCTCGTCATAGCTGCATTTTGGAACTCGAATGGACAGCAGGTGCTATCGTCGAGATGCATTGCTTTCAACGTGTAACTGAAACTGGCGCCTTGTATCCGGTCAAATGCGTGCAATCGAAATTGGGTTTGTAGAAAGTCCTCGTGATGTCCGCGGTGAAGTTCGCCTTTAGAGGACGCCGCAGCTCGCTTTCTAGACTTCTTTCTCGACATCAACCACCCTCAAGTCCGCAACCAGCACCACGGCAAGACTGCTTCCATCTCCTGTCTCGATACGCATACCTCGCAATCGCTTTCCGCAATCAACCGCCAACATGCAATCCGCTTCCAAAGACTCCTTTTGGAAGTTTATCGAGCGCTTCGAAGGCGGTAATGCAGGTTTGTATCGGCGTCAGGCCCGCGAAGCTGGATACGACCTCGCGCAGAGTGCTAAAGGCGACCAAGTCCGCAAGTGCCTCGCTCGCATGCAGCGTGGGCTTCTTTGCTACGAGACTTGTAGCACGCCTGAGTTGGAGAAGTTCCTCGAGGCGCGAAACATCCACCAGCATCCAGAAAAGCTCTCTCGTGGCGGCATGATCAAGCGTCTAATGTCCGCAGACGATGACCGCGACTTTCCTCGCTTTATGGATCTGCCGCCGGAGCTTCGCAACAGTGTCTACGAGTTCGTTATGGACGAGTACGCCAAAACTCTCATCACTCCGGCCCAGCCACCCTTCGCGCTCGTTTCTCGCCAGGTCCGCGATGAGGCGCTGTCTACCTTCTACGCTTGCTGCAGCTTCCAGATTGACCTGTAGGTACCCGAATCCTCATCTTTGATTTATTTGGTGGCTATCGTGGCTGATATGAAGCTTTCTAGTCAAGAAACCAGAACAGGTCGATTCACGTTCAGCTCAGACTCGCTCGCTTTTTTCAACAGCCTGCAATCCGTCGACGTGTCGCGGCTCGGTCGCCTGCAAATCCAGGTTCTGACTCCGCGCAAGCCCGGAATTCATCACGGTCACAAGAACTTCGTGATCAGCATCGAGAAGTCCTCGGAAGAGAAGAAGTACATGGTGATGGTAAACCGTTGCCAGAGCGATGGATATGGGCCACCGCTGTTTGTGACAACAGGCTGGTGCTCTGGGCTCGAGGCCAAGTTGAGGACTTTGCTGGCGGCTCGCAAGCTCGACACCGGTGAAAAACAGCTCGCAGTCATGCACATCTACGAGTTTCGTACACTGATCGAGGAGTGCATGACCTAGCCGAATGCGAAATCGCCTAGTCCTTGCTTGGATGACTGGTCTGTTCGTGTTGCTGAGCATTCGAGGGCTAGGTATCAGGGAATCGCAGCTGCAGTCTAGGCATCCAGCAGACTGAGCCTCTCAAAATTCTGCAGCACCGGCTTCTCCCTCTTCAGCTGGCTCTCCTGCAAAGCATCGAATAACACGCCTTGCCCACCCCAAGGCCGATGCCGCTCTGGTTCATTTTCATTCAGCCCTTCCTCTTGTGCTGGAGGCAGAGGCACGGGCACAGCATACACTTCATCCATGCACTTTTTGCAAGCGTCCTGCACCTCCACACATGCAGCTTGAACCGCAACGGCACGCTCTCTCATAGTCCTTCTCATGAGCCCTTCTACCAGGCGTGCAACGTCGTCCCCGGTCTCGTTGAGGCGCTCAATGAGACGCGTAATAGAGTTCACCAAATACTCCTCTTCATAAACGGTGCCTTTCTTGCCACGAGCGCGCTTCCTTTCCTCTCTTCGCTTATTCTTACTTGTCTTGCGCGTAGCATTCGTTGCAAGCGTGCCCATACTTCGATTTGTGTATCGGGTCATGAAGGTTCCAGCACTGGTTGTGGCGTCGGTGGGAGCTAGTGAGATGTCATCTGGAATATCAGCATTGACATCGCCAGAATCAAGAAAAGCCATTGGGTCCTCTTCTTTCTTCAGACGAAGCTCGCGAAGTCTTGGCACTTGATGCTGTAGCTGAGTCCGCATCTCGGCCAAGAGCTCGGTGACAGTTGCAGATGCTTCGACTAGGCCAGCATCAATGACATCCTTGAGCAGTTCGGGCTTACGACGCTGCGCGATGAGCCGAGTGGCTTCAGAAAACTGGTATGCCTTGCAGAGAAGCCGCGCTGCAGATGATAGATCATTGAGATACTCGAGGTAGATGGTTGAAGCAGGGATGTACTCTTTGGATTCCTCGCAGGCCTCTGCGAGATCTTGAGCAATCTCTGCAATCTTCTCGTCAGACAAGCCTGCCAGACCAGCACAGGCGAGACACTCGCGCCACTGACTCGCAGAGCGATACGCTTCATACGCAGCAGTATACTCGCCGATGTATTCGTATGCAATGCCGGCTTCCTTGTATCGATTACGTGAGCTCAAGAAGTCTGCGTAGATTCGCATCAACTCGCTGAGGCGAGCATTGTCATAGCGGTATAGCTCAATGGCTGAACTGTACAGCTCGTGTTTCGCAGCGTAGGTCTTCACTTCATGGAATGCCCCGAGAGCGTGAAGGTGGGAGAGAGCCTTTGAATACCGCTTCAGGTCGTCGTCAATAGCATGCCGCTGGCGAAGAGGCTCCATGTCATGCAAGCTCTGAAGGTACGGAAGATACTCTCGAGGGTCCTTTTGCGACTGCTGCGCCACCAGCAAGGTTACATCAAGATCGTAAAGCCCGAGTGCAGTGTCGTAAAGGCGGTTCACATCCGCCAAGAAGCAAATGTGTTCCACTGCTTGTTCCAGGTCGTCCTGTTTCTGCTCTTTGCGAAGTCTTGCAACAAGTGACAACCCAGCCTCGAGATCGGGAGGACTCTTGCACACATGCGCAGTGACTATGCTTTGAAGATGCGTTGCGGTGTGTGTAGCTAGAGCATCGAGGAACGCATCACAGATCTTGTTGGTCTTCGACAATGCGGAAACCATTGTGTGAGACGCATCGCCACTGAAGACTCGGTTCCCGCCATTGACACCGTTGGGCGCGGTCTGAGGTTTGAGGGTCTCCTTGTATATGGTCTGACTGACATCCTCGTCACTCAGTGAGCTCAAGAACAAGTCAATGCTCTCCACCTTCTTGACCTGTTCGATGAAGAGCTCGATGTCATTCATAAACTGGTCTGGTGCATAATCGTGTAGTATGTTCATATCCACTCTTTGTGTTCTGCAGATCTTGAATGCTTTCTTGTAATTTCGATCACTGATTGCAGCTCGAATGCCAGCAAGGACTAGCGCTCTAGGGTATATGGTTTCCAGATTGCCACGAGGCATTTGCAGGACAAGACAGTATGCGCTGGGTATGACCGTCACGAGTTTGGCACCTCGCTCAATATTTCGGCAGCGCTCGTCCTTTTCTGGCTCGTCTGGAGGAAGCTCAAGCTGGCCATCATGCAAGTGGACAAACTTGATCAGGTGGCTCGATGTGGTATAGATCAGATGTGTTGATGTGACTGCAAAGGAGGTACAACCAGACACTTTCAGTGCTTGAATATCGCTCTTCACGTGAAGCATCCCGGTGGCAGTAAGACCAAAGACGATTGCGGCGTCCCCGGTCTGCCAAATATCCACATCAGGACAGGCGACAGGTAAGGTGGCGACCGATTCCTTGGTTTTGAGGTCGTGAACGGCGCCTCTATTGTTCTCAAGGAGCAGTCTCTGATGATTTGTTGGGTGGAATATCAAAGGCAAATCCAGCTCAGAACGAGAAGCAGACGTTCCAAAGTCAGATACAGTATTGATGCGAGTGCCTTGAAGGTTCACAGAAGAAGATATCACCGTGAGGTCGTCTTCGTCAAAAGCAATCTGCCTTCCAGCTTCATCAGGCGGCAAGTCAAGGTGCAGCGTTTCCAATAGCTCCGCCTTCTTCGCAGGCTTCGAGCTGTAGTTGCATTTCCATAGGGTTATGCGGTCGTGGTGTAGAACAGCAAGCCTCATTCCATTGGGAGAGATGGCCATATCAACAACATTCCTAGGCGTCTCAATCTCATCGAAGGCCATCGGAGGTGGAACGTTTGCAGTCCGAAGTGGCGTTATCTTCAGCCGACTCCCATCGATGACAGCTACAGTTCCCATGTCCCAAGGCGGCACTAGTGAGCCACATGAGACTTCCGAGGAGTAGGCAAGAATCCGCAGGCCCTGAGGCTCGAAGGCCGACAAATGAAGAGGTCTCTCAGGATGCCAGCTTGTGTGGACAAGGCCGGGTGATTGCCGTGCTCGCAGGATTTCTTGCTTGAGGTAATAATGGTAGTTTCCCATGGTCCAGAGCTGGACTCTGTCATTCGTGGACACGGCAAGCACCGAGGAGTCGTTGTTCCAATCGAGTGCAATATCTCCGGCAAAGGCGTCCAGCTCATCTTGGGTGAAACGAAGACTAAACTCGCCATGTCGCAAACCATTTCTCTCAAAAAAGACCACATCGGCTCGGCCATCTCGTCTCTGGAGACCCGCAATCAACTGACCGCTCGGCTTCCAACTGAGGGCTCCTTCCAGCCCGTCGACTGGCTCGCTGACGCTGTCAAGCACTCCTTCTCTGGAGAACACACGAATCACTCGCCGCCTCAGATGTGGCAGCTCGAGAATGCTATTGATGGCCACATACTGGCCATCGCCTCGCCAGCTGATTGAAGTCCTGGAATCATCATATGTGCTCAGCTTCCCCTCATCGATGTGCTCTGGCACTGTAGGATCTCTCAACGCTTTGGCTCTGGGCCCTTGAAACTGAGTCTCCTTCTTGCCCCAGCCGACTGAGACGTGATTGGAGACCGTGAGGTCTTCCGGCGACAAAGCAATGTTTGCAGTGCCCTCGAAATCTCTCGTCATGAAGAGGAGCGTATCTGCTTTGGATGCGATCACCAGAAGCTCTTCGTCTGGGCTCCACGCAGCTGCTGCTATGCCCGCATCAACCGAGCCCACAATCTCGATGAGCTCCTCGCCAGCTTGAGGATCCTCGCGCACCACATAGATGTCGCCCCCTTCCAGGACCAAGCTGACGACACCCGTGTCAGGAAAGCAGTGGAGGCTCAGGACGCGGTCGAAGGCCAAGGCGGGATTTGGGGAGGGCGCGTCCCAGGATGTAATGAGGATGCCATCTTGCGGATTCCAAGCATGTGAGGGGAAGCGTTTGAGTGTGATGGCTGGAGTGGTCTCGGAAGGGCCAAAAGCACATATCACGCTGTGGCCATCCCATGCTGTTGCGGCAAGTGGTGCCTCGTTCTCGTCAAATCCAAGCGCCGTATGCTGGACATTGCGCAGATTCCGCATCGTGACCGCGGGCAATGCTGTTAACAGGTCTCATCTGTCCAATCGAAGCATCTCAAAAGGTGGAATTGGAATTGTTCGCAAGCTGCTCAGCTGTACTGAATGTGAATGATTCAGGTCACAAATTTGGGGTTCTGCTTAGTCAGAAACGACAAGGATTCGAAGTCTAATACTTCGCGTCTGGCAGCCAAGGGAATCCCTATCTCCCATCAGACCCTTGCTAGCCAGCGCACGGTCATTGGTTTATTTATAAACCCCTTGCGCAGCAAGGGTCTGAACACAAAAGGTCACTTTCGGACAGCTAGAATTTCCAACTTAGCGCGCAACGCGAAATACATAAATCTTATAGGTATATATTATAGCGCGTACAATTCTAAGCTTAAATAATTAAGAATGAAATGTATACGACGTTATAGCGTTAAGATATTATAGATATAATATAGCAGGTTACCTAGTAGCTAGCCGGCTAGGCTACAGTTTAGTAACTAGCTAAGAACACCTATTTTGCGACTTAATACAAACAATACGACGACACTTAGAGGTTATAGAGCGTGCAATTTCGAGTATATATTAGTTATATTCGCCTATACGACGTTATATTACGTTATTATAACTAAAAAGTAGAGGACATCTAGCTTTTAGCTAGCTTACCTAAAATAGCCAAATTTCGACTATCGCGAACAAACAAGCTAATACCTAGAGCTTCTTACGCGTATAATTTTATAAAGATCCCCGTCTAGTAGATATCTATACGACGTAGTAGTATTAAGTAGCAATCTATAAGTAGAGGTTATTAACCGGGCTAAGGCAAAACATTAGTATATAGCTAAAATAAGTGCTATACTATAGCTTTAAAGCGTATACGAGTCGCTACGGGTTTAATAAGTAGTTAGTATAATGCTAAAGCAGTGCGGCAAGCAATATAATATCTCGTATACATTCCTATAGCTTCCTGTCCGTGCGTTATTATATATAACGCGGCTCGTGCGCTTGTACGCTCGACGCGTATATCTATATACCCGTTCTTCGCTCGACTTCCTTTATAAGTATATATATCGTTATAGCTACTTTCTACTACTACTAGCGCCGCCGCTATATCCGGTAATAATGTCGATATAGAGCGCGGCTCCGATACTTTAATAGATTCAAACCTACTACTAACAACCTTCGCCTTTATAGGTTAAGGCCTCCGTCCTAGGCTACTCGATAACTTTACTAGCGAGCTTAGCTCTATATTGCCTATCTCCGAAGCCGATCGTCGTAAGGCTAAGGCTAATCGAGAGGCGCGCCGCCTTTAAGCTCGCCGCGGACCGGCTATTATCGAGGCTACTTTAGAAGTAGAAGATTAAGATAAAAACGACCTTAAAAGTAAGGCCTCTAAATAGTCGATAGAGCTTAGCGAGGATAAAGTCGAGGAAGAGCGGAATACCGAAGAAGCTACTAACTTTAACTAAGACGATAAAGAAGAGGAGGGTAGCGATAAAGATAATACTATCGATACCCGACTAGGCTATAGTAGGAAGCGTAGCAAAGCGCTAGCTACTATAGCTAATAAGAAGAAGGATAGAGAGAAGCAGGCGTAGAAGGAAGCCCTTACCGATAAGACCGATAATAAGAAGTTTTCCGATATAATAGACAAGATTAATATAGAGCATATCGCTATTACCTAGTTCCTATAGATATAGGTTAGCGACAAGGGCAGCAAGACATACCGGCGCCGCATTAGCTATATGCTAAATACCTTCCTAGAAGAGGGCATAGTTAGTACGCGGATGCTTCGTTCTAAGTTTAAGAAGCTAGTCGGAAAGCGGTTCTTTAATAAATACAATCCCGCGAAGGCCGTAGAGCTAGACGACCTACTAGAGATAATAAATATTATTAAGACTAGCGCACCGATATAGTATGCTATGCTTAAGCGCCTTCTGCCGAACAAGAAGAAGAAGCTAAACATAGATTTCGGCTAACTAGCAATGCAGCAAAAGAAGGCTAGTAATAACGGTAGGGATAACGAGGGCGAGTAGGAGGAAGAAGATAATAACGATAATAATAAAGCCGATTCTAGACGCTAACAGAAGCGGATCTGTACCGTTATATAAGTCGTCGCTCGGTCTATAGCGATAAAGAAGTCTTCCTACTTCGCTAAAGCTCTCGGACTCTTCCTATATATATCCGGTATAAAGCGCCGAGTTGTTAACGTCCTTAGTAGCCTTAGTATTTGTTTAGGATATTCGACTATCTAGCTTTTAGCAAAGCAAGTCGCTACTAAGAACCGTAAGCGGGCTATTGCTCTCGTAAAGAAGATAAAGAAGTGTCTAATAGTAATCGTATACGATAATTACTATATATCGGAGTACCGGAAGGCTATACAGTTAATCGGCTAGTTAATAAAGCAGCGGAATATAACTACATCGTATATCGCCCGATATAGTGCTTTAAAGAAGCTACTACGGAAGAGTATACTAGATCGTTCGAAGAAGCTAAGTCTAAAGGTTATCCTCTATAGTTATAAGAAGGACGCTATACGTAAGGATATATCCCTATACTATATCGACTAAGCTTTAGGCTTCGTATTGCTAGAGCTAAAAGAGGTATTTAAGGACTTCGAGTTCGATAGCTACCTATTAACTAAAGACGGCGGCACGCTAGTATCTCGCCTACCGTAGCGTAAGCTTCGTATTAAGAATGTAAAGGACGGTAAGACAGTCGTTATCTTATTGCCCGTTTCCGACTATAATAAGGCCTCGATCGAGGAGACATATAAGGTAGTCTTACGGCCTCCTCGTAATCTATATCCTCTTAAGCGGTACGACGACTACGGGCAGCTCGGTTGTTCGCAATAGCTATCTTTTAGAGGATCTTCTACGATATTTAGGCTAAATTCTGCGAGGTCTACTCGACTCGAGCGCGACGCTATACTTAAGTTAGTACTAGACGAGATAGACCCGCAGTAGCGCTCGTACTAGTCGTAGCTATATCTGCCTATATAGCCCGTATAGCCTATCTAGCCTCCTTCTTCTTTTGTTTCTCGGCGTTGTCCTAGACCCTAAATGCCTTACGCTCCTTAAAGACTTGCGGCGCGACCTACGTAATTAATAATAGTAGACTATCTAATAGCAAGTCTCGCTAGTGCTCTTTATTCTCGTCGAGCTATACTATAAACGATAGTGCGCGTATATCGAGCGTCGCTTTATCGACCGAGAAGCTTTCTTTAATAGCGGAGCTGTCCTTATACTAGAAGTATTTCTCGTCGAATACTTCGCTTAAGTCCTATATTATATTATCTAAGACGATAAAGTTAGATAGTACGACTTCGAAGCGACGGTTGCAGTATAGATCTAGGAAGATCTTATCGGTACGACGAGAGACCTACTCCGTAAGATACCTTAGTCTAAACAACTATATAGAACCTCTCGGAGGTGCTTTAATTACTTTTAGCGGCGGTAGTAGATCCTTTCAAACTAGCAGATCTAGTAGCTATAGATTGCATATACTATAATAGTTCTATATGCTAACTACCTCTCGTACTAGATCGAATATACGCTTATATTCCTTATAGAAACTAAGAACGATAGCGCGGAAGTAGCGACGGTATCGTAGATTTAGATAGTAGCGCAGGTTCTAGACTTGTCTCTAGATATCGTCTAGGTTGTCGCAAAGCGTCTAGTACTTCGTAGTCTATTCGCTACCTCTCTTTAGCTTACGGGCATTCTTAGCGATAGCTTCTTCGACTGCTACGTCGAATAGTAACTAACCGGCAGCGATAGTAGGACGTAGCATATTAGCAGCGGGCCGTAGCGGGATAGCGACGGTCTCTCTATCCTTTTTATTATCGTTATCGTTATTATTATTATCTAGGCCGAATTACTCGAAAAGATCGTCTACTCCCTCCTTATCCTAGGCCTTACTAGGAACGTTAATATAGCGAAGTCCGCTCGGTCGTACTAGCACAATATCTCTTAGTCGATATACTAGCGCCGTATCCGCACCCGTCTATACGCCGATAATAGGATTACAAGGGATTATCGAGCGATAGTTAGAATTAGCTAGCACTCGCTACTACGTATTATCGACCTACTACGGTAAGAAGACGATTGCTAGAGCTATTATATTAGGAATTCGTATAACTCTACCTAGCTTCTATATTAGATTATCGAGATCCTTCGTAATCGGGAATTTGTACTAGATAACTATCTCGATATTAGGAATATTAATACTAGTAGCCGTTACTAGAGTGCCCTAGAGGATGCGAATCTTAGACTCCGGCTTCTTAAACTCGAGATACCGCTTATCCTTATCGATCTTAGCTACTTCGGAGGTATAGAATTAGACAATATCGTATACGTTAATAGTGCGTAGTACGCCGGCCTCTAATAGATCTCTATTCTACGTATACTTCGACCTACCTATTACTAGATTAGTAATGTCCTTCGTTAGATAGATTAGCTATTAATATATCGCGAAACGACCCTTATCGATCGACCGACGGCTATCGATAAAGATTATAGTCTTCTAGATCTTGTTTAGCGTAGTAAGGCTAGTATCTTTATCTACTACGTTACGGAGCATAAAGTATAGGTAGTTAAAGCCGCCTTCTTGCTTCGGTAGAATAGTCTATAGGATGTACCTAGTATCCGGGCGATCGATACTATCGCGGATTACGATAGTATATATACTAGCCTCGCTCTACTTCCGCAAGCCGTTCGCGAATAGGTACTTCTTAGTCTTATCCGAGACAGTAGTAGAGCAGACTAGGAGTATAGTATTAATGCTTATTAGCTAGCGTAGGAGGTAGAGGACGGTATAGCTATTGTAGAAGTCCTTCTACTTTAGATAAAGATAAGCTTCGTCCTATACCTATAACCCGAGTATCGAGCTAATAGTACGGATTACATCCTAAAACTTAGCTATAATTGCCTACTCTAGGCTATAGATAATATAGTTATATTTGCTATTCTTAATATCCTTTAGTATATTTAGATCCTTCTATCTTATCTTAGCGGTTACTATATACACCTTAACGAGAGTGCGTTCTTCTAGAGTTAACTAGCGTACTACTTCTTCGATGTCTAAGCCTTATTCCTCGGCGATCCGTATTAGAGGCACAATCTGCAAGGTTATTATACTAGTTAAGAGTGTAAACGCCTAGAAGACTAGTACCTTACTAGTACTAGTACGAGCGATTATAAGAACGTCCTAGCTACCGAATATAAAAGCGAAGACGACGAGGACTTGCAGCTCTATTAGCTTAGGTACTAGAACGCGAGTAGGGTATAGTAGCTTAAGGATCTTCTTAAGACTATTACGGACGATCTACTTCTAGTATCGCAAAGCACTACCGTACTAGCCGGCATTCTAGATAAGCTACTATACTTATTAAAGAAGGCGCTACTCCTCGATCTCGGCATAGGCGATATTAAAATAGTTATTCTACTCTTACGTAGGCGCATCGATCGCGGGTAGTATAGGGCTAGGCTCGTATAACTACTTAGGCTCTTCGCGATTAATTAGAGTGCGATCTAGTACTAGCGCGCGAGACTAATATATTAATTGCGCTTGTTACGCTAGTTACGCTAGCGCGGCGGTTGCTCTAGTAGTAGTAGGTATTCTACTAGTATTTAAAGGACCGGTAATAGTAGTACCTATATATCCTCTATAAGTAGCGCCGAAAGTAGCGCCTATATAACTACCTTCTCGACTACGTCTACGTAGTCGACTACGGCCTTAACCGCGACCGGCCTTAGCCCTAGCAGTATCGCGCTAGCGCTAAGAGAGGTTAGAGTTGCGGCTAGGCATAGTAGCAGTATATTGCTACTTGCTTTAGCGACAGGCTAGTTCTCGGTAAGGGTATAGTCTATAGCAAACGAGAGATACTTTTAGCGACCTTTAAAGAAGAGCGCTCGGCTACCTAGACTTACGAGTACTAGAGAGTATCGGACTGTATTAGCGAGTCTAAACAGTGTTAGATAGTATTAGAAAGCGTAGAAGGATGTTCGAGAGGTACGGAAGAGGTTTGCGACACTACTTAAAAGAAGTAGGTCGAAGTTTAATAAAGTCTAAGCTTTTATATACAAATAAGGCTAAGGTAGCTAAGGTAAGTAAAGATTATAAAATTTAGACAAAAAGACACTTAGAGGTTGTAGATACGGCGATTCTAAGTAGGACTGTCTCTTCGAGATTATAGATATATATAGTTGCGGCGTAGAACAGTTTAAGTATTAGTAGAACAAACGAGGCCTATCCCTCTATAAACGAAGTTCTTAATTTCTACAGATCGCAGCTTTCTAAATTGTTTCGTTGTAAAAATTGGATGTCCTATATATAGCATCGCGCTAGAACCCCCTTTATATATTCTATATGCTATATATATTATATATTGCGGTATAAATCCCTAACTGATATTAAGGGTGTCCGATTCTAACCTTTCTAGTTCAGGCGCTTCGCTAGAGCTCAGCTTGCCTAAGGCATATTTATATATTTAGAATGCACGTGCTATCGAGGGCAATCACACTAAGCGGAAGTCACGAAGCAGCCTGAAAAGGAGGTAGGGGAATCCACACTCAAGCCCGACCTGAGATACTCGAGTCAGATGTTAATACCATGTGCACCGCACACAGTACTGCTTTCGTTGAACGCGTGTCGAGAAACATAGTGATAGCACCTCAATCGCGCTGTGATGTCCAAGAGCGGACCAGAGCTTCCAGCCTGATCGCAAAAAAAGTCAACTCTAAAGTTCTCACCCAGGCTCGCACAGCGCAACGACTGCAGTCAAGTCGAATATATCCATGGTCGAACGCCGAAGGAGGCCAAGGTCTAAATTAATCGGCTACTTGATTTTGGCCCACTTCTTCCGCGCCACACTGTCTCAACCAATTGAGCTGGCTCTTCATGCGCGTCTCAGCATACACCACCTAACATTTGGCTACTGACAACTCGAGCGAGCACTCTCACTCTCTGTCAGCTGCTAGTGACAGGCTGGCCAAACGCGATACATGGTGTATGAAGTCATTGTAGAGCTGTGAAGGTGTCTGGATTCGTAGTCGTACGCCTGCAAATGATTGGTCTTGCATTTCGTTCGTTGCACTCATGCTTGCCCTTCCCACTTACTCCTTCTCGCCACCTCCCTCCGTCACTGCACTGGTCTTGCGTCGTGTTGGAACGAAGGTGAAGACCGTCCGCTCTCGTCTGACGACCGAGTCGCCAGACCTTGTCCGTCACTTTAGCCGAGGACGCATGCCAGAGGATGTCGACAACAACAACATTGAGCAAAATCATGAGTCGAAACGATTGTCGCTCATCGCGAACTTCTCACAAGCGCCATTCTTCCCTTTCCATCTTTCGCAACTCGCACGACATTCCTCGGCGGTGACCTTCTCCTCTCATACACGACATATCCATCTCGTGGCGGCAGACTTCGATTGCGCTCGAACAAGACCACCTCATCTCGCGGTACACGATATACTCGCGTCTCCTCAATAATCTCATCATATCCAACAGATCTTGACCGTTCGTGGATGTTCAATGCCAAGTCTCGCTCCTCATGTGCTTTCCGCTCATAATTTCGCGCTCTTGCCTCTGCTTCCAGAGCAGCAATTTCTGCATTGATATCTTCTACAGTGCGAAGGTCTTTCGGCGCGAGAACAAGGGATCCAGCGTGTGATCGGGGACGAAGAGATCGTATTTCGGCGGCATTGACCCGATCGATGACATCTTGAGCCGTTCTCGCAGGACCGCTACGAGATGAGTGCGAGGAAGAATGGTGATGGCTTCTCAGGCTGGGTTCCACTGTTCTCACTGCAGCCATGGTCGAATTTGCGATATGAGAGTGGCTGGGTTTTATCGTGCAGGACAGGTGGAGGAAAGGGTCATGGCGGGAATTTGGGGAGTCTTGCCATTCTATGCTGTATCTCAGAAGCCTTTCACGTCATGTTGACAGGGCCAACACCAAGGACGAACGCCAGACGCACGCCAACACAAAACTCTGGAGGAGCGGAAAGGGATGCCGCCAATGACGTGCCACGAGATTTGGGTTCGTGCGCGCGCGTCATTGCTAGGACAATCTACACCTGGTCGCCGATCCCACCTTTCCATAGCCATACCATCCCATACAGTATAGGCACAGCCAGTGGCGATGAATCCAGGAGGAAGACCATGAAACTGAGCATCCATCCTGGAGCCCGGTGTCTCCAGTATACTGCAATCAGACACTCCAAGATCCAGAACCAGTCAATACTGTACCACGCAGGAACGCCCCGTCTCTATAGGCTGCTTTGACTGCTGATGCTCAGGACCTGGAGTGTACTTGGCATATTGTCGAACCAAATCCAGCACAGGTCTAACATCTTGGACGACATGTCAGCAAATCGCTGGGCTACCCGCCAATCCATACGCCACACCTCATCCACAGAGACGCAGCTGACTCGCCGCTGCGGATAATCCGAGTCTTACTTCATGTGAGCACTGCTTGGAAGAGACGGGAAGAGAGACATGCATCGACTTCGAACGGAGATGAATGTTGCAGCTCTACCTCATCTCCTGCTCTCCTCAGACCTCCTTCCTCATACGTACACATAAGCCGTACTCGGCCCACCACGATACGGCGGCTTCGCATCCGTCAATACAAACGTTATCCCCGAACAGCCTGTCGCTTTACTCCTACTCAACGCGAAAATCTGATATACATTACCACCATCCGTAGGACAAGCAATCCAATCCATGTCCTCAAACACCAACTTCGTCCTCACTTTCGCGAACCCATTCACCACCGCGCCATCCGGATACTTCCCGAAATCGCCTCCGGCCGTGAACGCCAGGTGTCCATCTGACGGGTCCACGTAGACTGCTTGTCCGCCTTTGATATTGACGCTCAATGAAAACTTGTCTTCGCCGTTCACGTAGGAGAAGATGGTTGTGTGGTTGTTTTTCGTGTTGGAATCGCAGATCGCTGATTTCGGGTCCGCGTCTTTTTGGCATTCGTTGGTCGTGGGCTTGCCGACCCAGAAGGCCTTGCCGTTCGCGTTGATGACGGCTTCTTGTAAGGCCTGCGAGGAGCCTTGGGTCGTTGCTGTGAACAGGAAAGGGTCTTGTGCGGTGCCAGCTTGCGCAGCTACGGCTGTCGCGAAGAGCGCAAGTGTGAAGGCTTTCATCTCGACCGATGACTGCTTCTGCTGGAATGGCGGGGAGTCAAGTCAAGTCGTGTTGGTTCTTTTATTACTCCTCGAAGTGTTCTCTGCTACTGGGGCTTCTCTTTTCATTTCGCAGCTAGCTGTTCTTGCTTATATACACCAGATTGACTGCCAAGCCTTTTCTCCTTGCTGCCCAATTTAGACAGCCTTTTTACCCATAATTATTGGTCAAGGATTCCACAGTTGGGTGCCCCTGAGCGCACGGGACTGCTCGATATGAGCTCCCATGATTTCCAACACTCTATCGAAGTCTCGCATGGTTCCCAGCCTCCTAGGAAACCGAAACATCGCAAAGACTGCTTCTCGGTTTCTCAGTAATGACGGCGCGCGCGACTCGAACTGCGGCGCACCATCACTCAAAGCATTATCTGAAAGCCATCGACTCGTCGAACAAAGGTGTCCTGAAAAGATGAACAATTGATCCTTGGTCCGCGCACTCACACAATAACCTCTTGGAAAGGTCAACATAACGCCCTTTGTCTGCTATCAGCAATTCTTCGACCATAAGTATCCTCACCTTTCTTCACCTTCAAGTGACCTTAAACCCCAAGACTCACTCAACAGCTTTCCCGGCGAAAGCTCACCTCAACTCCACACAAGTAAGTCAAAACAACCATCATGGGCGCAACATCCGCAGCAGACTCCCAAAAAACCATGGGCATAGCCCTCGGCTCCGCACTCACAATTGCTGCCGTCGTGCTCATAATCTGCTTCGTCGTCGTTCCTAGAGTCAAGAAAGCTAATAACCAGAACCGCAGACTCGAGACTCTAGATTCCACTTGGCAGAAAGAGATTTCGCTGCAGAGACCTATCCGTACGGGCTTGTTCGCTAGACGAGATAAGGTCAGGGCGGATACTTGGGATCCGGAGAGGTTGGTTGGGACTGCGCCTGAGTCTGTGAAGCCAGTTCCGATGCGACCTCTGCCTCCTGCTGTTATTATTGTCTAGAAGATATAAATACTCTCGCACTTGACTGACATGGTCACGTAGACAATCACAATAATCCAAGCTGCCTGATTGCCTTTGATAGGTAAGATCAGGATATTTTGGTTCACATATACTGTAGTATCTTCCTTTTTCACATCCCAATTCTTCCGTCATCCTCTCCCGCTCTACTAATCGTCGATGTTGATGAAGGAAGTCTGCAATGCTTCTCTTCTCCCGGCCCCTACCGGAGTCTTGCCAAGAGTCGCTTACATCCGTAGCAGTGCAGTGTAGTAGTGCATCGAACCAGCGTCTAGGATGAGAACAATGTATGTTATTGTTGCCAACTGTTGCACTCAGAATAACCACAACATCTAAAACCATCCGGATGATCCGGTCCGGATCCAAGCGGAGCGGACTCCTCTCCGCCACCTGTCTGCGTTCACGCCGAGGCTGTCCTACCTTGCTCTCCTTCTGTTGTACCACCGTGCGTCTGGAGCATTTCTGCTAGAGCACGACCCCGGTGGAACAGACGTCTGCTGAAATGGACCAGCTACCTCGAACACACTTCCTCTCAATCCCGCCCGAGATTCGCGAGGAGATCTATCGACTGATCTTCAATCCCGCCGCGAATCGCACGTACGATGACGATGAGTATGCCGAGTACAGCTTCGGCCCTACCCTCCAACTCCTCCAAGTCAACCGCCAAATCTACCTCGAAGCCCGCAAGATTTTCCGAGACGAGAACATCTTTGTGCGCATCGAGACACCATGGCCAGAAGCTCAGCAGCACGTGGCATTGGAAGGGCACGTACCCATCCTGGTGACGAAAGAGAAGGCAAAAGCGTTCAATCATCATAGCCTAAAGATAAAAATCGATGCTCCCGAGCACGCGAGCATGGAATGGGATACTCAGCGATTCATAATTCTTCTTGACGACCTCCCTGCCTTCTGCAAGATGTGGTACTACGCCGATCTCACGCATCCTTCACTGAACGTCCATCTCCGCTTGAGACTGGAGTTGAGAGATCCGTACGCAGCGGATTGGGAAGAGAAGCGCGTGCCAAGAGCCGTACAGAAGAAAATGCTATTACCATTCGGTGAGGTGAAAGGTCTGAATGCCACGATCGTCGAGGGTGACCCGAAGCCTTTCAAATCGATTGAGGAAGAGATGAGAAAATTGCAGGCAGAACCGCATATGTCGCCCGAACATTGTTTGCGGGAAGCTGCGAGGTTGAAGTTCGAAGGTAATGCTGAGCTGGGCAAAGGCAACTACCAAGCGGCATTAGATCTCTACAATGAGGCCTGGCGAGCAGTACATGTTGTGATCAAAGGTCGGAAACGACATATCCACGCCGACAGATTTTTCGGTCGGGAATTGACAGAGGAGCCGTTTAAAGGCAAGAATGGACAGGCTGAACGTCTTCTTTTGCGAGTGCAGCTCGTAGCGAATACTTGTCAGGTCTTTTTGAAACTGAATCGGTGGGAAGATTGTAGATTCTGGGGTATGAGAACGATCAAAATGCTGCGTGAGGCGATGGGTGTGGATGAGAGAATGAGCATACCGCCTGAAGATGAAGCCGTGCTCGGGTTTCCAGCTGCCGACCAAATGGGCAAGATTTACTACCGCACTGCTGTGGCACACAAGGAGCTTGGAGATAACAGCGAGGCGAGAAGGCTGCTCAGAGTCGCGGAAATATATCTGCCGAGAGATGAGAACGTCAAGAAGGAGATGGCGGCCACAGCACCAAGGTTGGGATAAACTGCGCAGGTCAACAAAAATCCAGCAGCTCGAAATGAACCCTTATCCTCCACCTCAAGATTTTTTTTTTTCCAATCTAGGTCTTGTTTGGACTTGTCTTCGCTTCCCACAGAAGCCCGCACGCCACAAACGACGGCAAGAACACTCCGTGGTACTAACGCCACACACCACGAGAAGGTGCGAGTCCATCCATCATGCAGCAAGAAAAAAAAATCTCATCAAGCCGTCGAGGGCTGACTGACTGACCATGCAGAAGTAACCACCACTAACAAGGGCTGCCACCTGCCACCACGCTCACCCCCCATCATTCAACCAGCCGACCACGAAGGATTCCTCAAACCTCGCGGCACTCCCCTGAAGTCTCTGTCCGCTTTGCCAGCGCCATATTCACTCCAAAAACGCATAGATAGAATACGTGACCGGTCGTTCTTGGACACCCGGGTGAGAAGCACAGAGAAACTGGTCGCCCGAAAATAACAATCAAGTCAAGTCACTGGGTGTCGCGTTCGCAGACACTCATTCATTTGAGATGAGGATACCGTGTTTTCGTGACATTTTCTTGCGTGGGGGGGGGGGGGGGGGGGGGGTTATTTCGTCGTTGGGACGCGACGCTGCGTGATGGGCGTATGTATGTGGTGGTGTAGGAGAGACTCATCAGAGTGTGGAAAGTTTGCAGAAGAGCTGCGCGAAAGATTGCGATGTATTACAGAAGAACGTGGCTCTTTCCTCTTCTCAGATGGGGGTGAAATGAGAATTGGAAGAAAGTAGATGTAGCATTGCATAATGCTCGTCGTGACATGGAAATGAGCGTAGGAGTCGTGCGTTCTTTTTAAATCCAAGACATTCTTGGCCTGTTCTCCTCAGCTCGTGCCTTATAACCGCGAATGGATCTACACAATCTTGTCGTGCAAGTCGAGCTTTGGTTCTTAAGAACTCTCAGGGTGACACTTGTACTTCCTCAAAACCCGCTCGAAGCCATCCAGCCCCTTCTTAAGGACGTCCAGAGTCGGGCCTAGGATTGGACAGTTAGCAGATGCAGCAAAGTTCCCTTCCTTTCCATAGTCGCTTACCATAAGAGACCCGAACGAAATGGTGACAAGGAGAGTCAAAGAGATCGCGTCTGCGGGCCGGGTTGAGGTCAAAGAAAATTCCTGGCACAACAATGACCTTCTCTTTGAGACATGCCTGGAAGAAGTTTAATCCATCGTTGATGCCAGATGGGAGATGTTCCAAGTTCAACCAGATGTAGAATGTGCTGTCAGGCTTGTAGCCAAGCTTGAAGCCCATCTTCTCCAGACGGCCAAGGACGTAATCGCGCTTGTCTCTGAAGTGAGATTGCAAAGCTTTCATCTCATTGCGGACATTGGCTGGGTCAAGCATGGGAACGGCAGCCTCTTGGAAGGGGACGTTGGTGCCACCATCGAGGTAGCTTCCACACGAGCCGAGGGCCTAGTTTATTGGACGCCTTGTTAGCAGGTGTTTGAAGCATTTTTCTCATGTCCTATTATCGCCCCTCTCACCTTAACGAATTCCTTTGGGCCCAGAATCCAAGCCACACGCCATCCAGGAAGGCGGAAACGCTTGGTCAGACCATCGATGATGAGAACACCGTCCTCGTCGACGTCTTCGATGTTGTCTGCCGCACTAATCACTGTGCCGTCGCAGTCTGTAGTGTAGTTGTAGCCACTATAGAACTCGTCCATAATGAGCGTGGCGCGATCACGGCAACAGTCCTGGATATCTTGCAGCTCAAAAACGCTAACCATTTTGCCAGTAGGATTGCGGGGATTGGATGTCAAAATGACGGACGTGCCACGGCTGATCTCGTCCTCGATCTTCGCGGGATGAATCTGATAGCCATCGTTCGTGTCCAGCGGAATGGGAATGACAGCAAAGTTCCTGAAGAGCGACAACATCTCATTGTATGCCGTGTAGTCGGGAATGAAGAAGCCCAAGTAAGCATTGCCTAAGATGGCCGCAATACGGATGAGGCCAGCTCTGCCACCTGGCACGATGCAGACATTCTCCCAGGTGTACTTGCTGTCCTTGCCTTGACTGGGATGAAGAGCAAGACGTCAGCATGTAGTCCACGCCGATGATTGCCATGCAGCTCATACCGGTGATGTTCGTTGTACAAGTTGGCAACTGCTGCCCTAAGCGACTTGATTCCCGCAGTTGGACCTGTGCCCCGTCGGGTAAGCGTGTGCTCTTCGAAGCTCAGATGAACAGTCGTTCGCATTTCGTGACGAAATTCAAAAGTCTTGGCTGCGTGCTGGCATACTCACCATATTCACGACCAGTCATCGAGATGTCGACTGTCTGTGGTCTTGGAAAACAGCCTTGGATGTCTGGCGGTGGTCAGCTGACGCAAATGCACGTGCAGGGCTAGGCGAGACTACCATCGTCGACTTCAGGTGCTCCTTGGCCCAGGTTGGCCCAGTTCTCGGGCTCATCTGCGAATCCATATTCGTAGGCTCGCTCGGTGGTCCAAACAACCCCGGTGGAAGCTCGAGATGGGTCAAGTCCAGCATGCGGCTTATGCCCTTCGTGAGCAAGACGGAACTGCAGGTGAATGGCCGAGTTGATCTCTATCGAATCAGGTTAGTATTTGGAGCACATTGCCGCGGCGTTTGCTGATGGCGAGTCATAAAGCTGTCATGAAAAGCTGGCGTAGCTAGGTAGGAAATGTTGTGGCTCTCCATCAATGAATATAGACCTCTTTCCCTTGCCTCTGCATAAACTTTTCGGGTATGGAGAACTTTCTCTGATATGTGTTGGGCCACAGCGTTCGTGTCTGCGCAGCACACCAGCCTCTTCCGTGAACTGTCGAACAGGATCAGGCTCTGCAGAAAGCGGAGCATGTGCAGGCTGAGTCTTGGCCCCGCAGGCTCGTGCCATATGCTTCCCGGATTCGCAGTCTTGGGGACTTGGCGACATACCTTGCTCGGTGGGTGGCTTGGTGGTCGAGAAACGACGAATCTTGGAGCCACCAGTTTCGTGCATCTCGCCCGAATGGCCTCCGCGGTGCGGGAGCGAGGCCATTGTGGAGCTGGACAGGACTCCGGCTTTGTGAGGCAGAAAGAAAAGAACCAAGGTTGGAGGAAGGACTCTGTCGGAGCAGGAAACTGCAGCTGGGTCGGCAAAGTACGTACGAGCGCGAAATGGCTCATCATGCCACGTTGTTCCAGTCCGGTGTCCTTGAATGCCAGCATCACATGTTTCAACACTAACGCCATTTGGTCGTGGGCTGGTCTCCCACGGCCCCATGCATCAATGAATCATCCAGCTCACGTCGCTTCACGGCAGAACCTGTGCGCCCGCTGCCGTCGTACGTGTTTGGTGACAAGCGCTGCCACGCGCGGCCTCAGAACGCCCTGTGACATCAATCACAAAGCGGAAGTCGCGGAGGGAAGGGGCGGTACGGATCGATGTGTGTGAGCAGCAAGTGGAGAGGAAGAAGTGTGATGTCGCCTCAATCTAGCCCATTATTTCTCCGCGCGTAATTATTGATTAGATTTGACGCAGAGGGCGAGTGCCTATTCTAATGATCCCCCGGCGATCCGGGTAGACACAAGCGGTGTGGCTAAGTTAACCTAAACTCCTCCACAACATCTGCACTTCCAGCAGCAAGACGTCACCTGGGCTGCGCAGCAGTGACATTCCTTTGCTGGCAGCCACTAGACTTGGTCAGACGACACTCCTTTTACCTTTGACAAGCTACTTCTTCTTCATGTAAGCGCCCGCGCGCCCGCCTTCTCCAGAACCACTGTCGCTCTCCCTTTCGATGGGAGTCACGCAGCCTCAATCATACAGGCCCGATTTTAACTCCGAACACAATGGCTGTTGAGTCTACTCGCCGCCAGGTGGCCGGCCTACCTATGAAGCATATTACTTTGGCTGCTGTACGAGCATTCCTGGGCGCACACTGATTTGTACTAACATGCTGGCAGCTTGTCCTTCAGAATGCAGCACTGGTTCTCCTTCTGCGCTACTCACGCACAATGCCGCTCGTCTACGGAGATCGATACTTCGCGTCGACCGCCGTATTTCTGTCCGAGATCATCAAATTCTCCTTCTTTTTGTCCGTCGCACTCTACGAGATTGCAACGAGCCCGCAGACTCCCGACACATCGACCATTGGAGAGCTTTCAGGAGCCCTTTCAAGAGCAGTGTTTACAGGAGATAGCTGGAAGCTGGCTATTCCGGCTATGCTATATGCGCTGCAGAATATCCTTCAGTACACCGCTGCGAGTAACTTGGATGCCGCTACCTTCGCGGTGACATACCAGTTGAAGATTGTGAGCGCCGCCATGTTTGGCATCTTTCTGCTTGGGAGGACGTTGAATGGCCGAAAATGGATGAGCTTGGGCTTGATGGCTTTTGGCATTGCAATTGTACAGATGTCTTCTGTCTCGCAGCAAGGCAGAGTGCTGTCGATCAAGGACTTGCGAGATGGGGTATCCTTCCATTCACCACGTTCAATTTGGGAAATGGAGGATGAAGGAAACAGAGCTGCGGGTCAGCTGAACAAGCGCTCTGCGACATATGAAGGCATTGACGAGGACCGGTCTGCTGCGAATCCGCGAATGAACGTGACAATTGGCTTGGCGGCTGCCGTCGTGGCTTGTGTCCTCTCTGGGATGGCAGGCGTATACTTTGAGAAGATCCTGAGGTCCAGATCAGAGTGTCGTGCATCGGTGTGGGTGCGCAACGTGCAGCTTTCATTCTACACGCTGTGGCCAGTGCTATTCCTCGGAGTACTTTTCGCAGACGGAGAACATTTGGAGAAGACTGGATTCTTCACTGGCTACAACTGGGTGGTTTGGCTCGTGGTTGTCTTGCAAGCTGTCGGCGGCATCCTCGTGGCGCTGGCATTGAACTATTCGGACAGTATGACCAAGAGCTTTGCCAGCAGCGCATCAACCGTGATCACTTTCGTGGTCAGCGCTATGTTCATGGACTTTAGCAGCAGCTTTCTGGTGAGTTGCAGGCCAGGCAGACTGGTGACGACATACTGACCCTTGTGCAGCATGTTCTCGGCACGGCTGCGACGCTGTTGGCGGCATTCTTATACACTACGACGGAAGAGGACAAGAAGACGCGACCTCCGCCGATCAGCGTCACGCAGTACGAGCAGAGCGGAGATTCCAAATCCTATTTTGACCTTGAGGCTGTCGCTACGCCTGCAGCAAAATCGCCATTACGAGAGCCCATGAGAGATGCATTGTCAACCAGCAGGCCTGGTACTCCTGTTAGCGAGAGGAGACATTTGAGATCGAAGAGCACGGAACGCAGATTTATGATTTAAGGAGTAGGCTGAGGAGTGTTTTGGATACCCGCCTGGGACATCAGACCCACGGCATGGCACGGCATGGCACGGCGGGCAGGACATGGCACGGCGAGGCATGGCGGGCGGGCAGGGCAGGGCAGGGCAGGGCATGAAAGGCGTACGAAAGTACAAGAAAAGGCGGCGCATAGCCATGGAGTCGGGAGGCAGGCTTTGCTTTCGAGCGGGACGGGAAGGAGCTTTCTCATGCTTGGGTAGCATCCTCGGGCTATCGTTGTGCTCGTGCAAATGAAAATATCAGCATTTCAGGTGCTGGCGATGCGATGCGATGCGATGCGATGCCACCCTTTACGCTCTTGTTCACCGAACTTGCGGTTGTGTCGAACCTGGAAGGGACGTCGACGCCCGCGCCTTCCTTCGTGCCTGGCGACGCGTGAAAGCTCCACTCTGACGGCCTGCCGAGTCTACACTTCACACTTCTGCATTTGTGCTCTTCTCTCCTTCTCCCCTTCTCCCGCCGACCATCTTCCAGCCTCCATCACCATGACCGACCAGCACATCTTCGACCAGCTGGACATGCTGGAGCGTGGTGCCCGCGACCTGCCGACTGCGCGGAGTCGGTATGGTGCAAGTGGCGGCAGCGAACAGCACCCACGCGAAAACTACACTCATCAGAATACTGGCCCGTGGGACGATGCATATCGCCAGCAGCAGGACGACTTCATAGACCAACCTATACAGCTTGATTCGTTTGGTAAGGGCGACCTGCTGCAGCTTCTCTCCCATGTCATCTCGACGCTATGGCCATCGTGACTGACAGAGGACAGATGAGCGACTGTTGCGACAGCCGGACTACCATTCCAGGCATGGCCAAGCTGCAATGGGACGAGCCAGGCTGTCGCTTGAACCCAGGTCAATGCACGGCCGCCCACATGACGAGCGACATCCTTACCACTATGCACCAGCAACCACGCAGAGCAGACCGCCATCCCGGCACCTTGATCTGTCCCGGTATGCACACTTTGATCAGCCGACCTCTCCTCAGCTGCATGCACAACCTTCAAGCCCGGCCTTCAACGCAAGCCAGCGATATCACACATCTACCAGCCGACGAGATGATGATCTGGAGGGGGCCTTTGATGTGCACACCCGTCCAAGGCATCGACGGCCAAGCGCTCGGCGGCTCGGTTACCAGGCCCGTGATCTTGAAAATGACGAGCCGGATTGCCCGACGGTCGCGGAGCCAGTCATTGCAACCAAAGCTCGTGATTCTGGCCATGAAGCTCCAATCGCCCAAGGCATCAGACTCATTCCTACACGTCAATTGCCCGACCGCTTTCGCGCCATCTTTCCTTTCCCATTACTAAATGCAGTGCAATCGAAATGCTTTCCCGTCATCTACAAGACCAACGACAACTTTGTTCTTTCATCTCCCACTGGCAGCGGCAAAACAGCAATCCTGGAGCTTGCAATCTGTCGCTTGATCAACGGCTACTCCAACGGCACCTTTAAGATCGTCTATCAAGCACCAACCAAGTCGTTGTGTGCGGAGCGCCAGCGAGACTGGCAGGCCAAATTCGGCCCTCTGGACTTGCAATGCGCCGAGTTGACCGGTGATACCGACAATGCTCAGCTTCGCAACGTTCAGCATGCCAGCATTATCATTACAACGCCAGAGAAGTGGGACAGCATGACACGGAAATGGAAAGATCACCAAAAGCTGATGCAAATGGTCAAGCTGTTCCTGATTGACGAGGTTCACATTCTGAAAGAGGATCGCGGGCCTACACTTGAGGCCGTCGTGTCACGAATGAAGTCGGTTGGCTCCGATGTGCGCTTCGTCGCCCTCAGTGCGACTGTGCCGAACTCACAAGATATCGCGACATGGCTGGGCAAGGACGCCATGAATCCAGGTATACCAGCACCACGAGAGAGGTTTGGCGAAGAGTTCCGCCCGGTCAGACTGCAAAGGCATGTCTGCGCGTATCAATATAGCTCCAACGACTTTGCTTTTGATAAAGTCTTGGACAACAAGCTACCCGATATTATCGCAAAATACTCTCAACGCAAGCCAATCATGATATTTTGCGCCACCAGGAAGTCCTGCGTCGAGACCGCGAAGCTACTAGCAACTTGGTGGTCCAACGCTGGTCCTCGAGATCGCTACTGGAATGCTCCACGAGGCCGGGTACAAATTACGGATAAGGATTTGCGCGAACGAGTGACGTCGGGAGTTGCTTTTCACCACGCTGGGCTTACTACAGAAGACCGCACCGCAGTTGAGAAAGGCTATCTTGGGGGTGAAATCGGTGTTATCTGCTGCACATCGACACTTGCTGTTGGGGTCAACCTCCCTTGCCATATGGTGATCATCAAGAACACGGTAACCTACACCCAAGGAAATGGTATGAAGGAGTATTCTGACCTGGAGGTAATGCAAATGCTGGGACGAGCTGGCAGACCACAATTCGATGACAGTGCCGTGGCGGTCATCATGACTCGCTTGCAGAAACAAGAGACCTACGAGAAGATGATCTCAGGATCTGAGGTACTGGAAAGCCGCTTGCACCTGAATCTGATTGAGCATCTCAATGCCGAGATTGGTTTGGGAACAGTCAGTAACCTCTCCTCTGCCAAACAGTGGCTCGCAGGCACATTCCTATACGTGCGCCTCAAGAACAATCCAGAGCACTACGAGATTGAAGGTGATGCACCCGGCGGCAGTATCGATGAGCGCTTAGAGAAGATCTGCCGCGAAGGCATCACGCAGCTTGAAGACAATGACTTGATCAAAGGTGTCATCAAGTACCAGTGCACTGAGTTCGGCGACTCGATGTCGCGATACTATATCCAATTCGAAACCATGAAGAGCCTCCTTGCACTTCCCTCGAAGGCCAAAATCTCCGAGATTTTGTCGACCATGGCACAGGCGGCCGAGTTCAAGGATGTGCGCTTTCGAGCAGGCGAGAAGCCAACCTACAAGGAATTGAATAAGAACAACAGCATAAAGTTTCCAATTCCTGGAGCTCTAGAACATTCAGCTTGCAAGGTGTCTCTGATCATTCAGTCCGTTCTCGGGGCTGTCGAGCTACCGACCGAGGACACCAAACATACCATGGAGTATCGTACAAGCAAGGCCATCATTTGGCAGCACGCTCATCGTCTGATCCGGTGTATCATTGACTGCCAACTCTATCTTGATGATGCAGTCACGGCACGCAACGCATTGATGCTTGCTCGTTCTCTGGCTGGTCAGGCGTGGGATGATTCACCTTTGCATATGAAACAGCTAGAAGGCATAGGCAATGTCTTTGTTCGGAAGCTCGTCGGAGCAGGCATCAGATCAATCGTGGACCTTGAGAGTATCGAAGCATACCGCATCGAGCAGATACTGAGTCGCAACCCGCCCTTCGGAGCCCAGATTCAGGAGCAAGCGCAGGCCTTCCCTCGACTTCGCATCGGTCTCAAGATTGTGGGCGAGCATATCGTCAAGAAAGGCGAGCACGTTACTGTGAAGGTCAAGGCAGAGATTGGTTTCTTGAACGAAAAAGTGCCGCTGGCTTTCCAACGCAAGCCGATCTATGTCTGCCTCCTAGCCGACACCTCTGATGGCCATAAGCTGCACTTCGCTCGAATCAGCGCCAAGAAGATGGAGAAGGGCATGGACGTGCTTTTCAGTGCCAATCTGACATCTCAGGGTCAAGTGATCCGAGCATTTCTCATGTGCGACGACATCGCAGGCACGCAGCAAAGTGCTATGCTCAAGCCCGAGATACCATCATACTCATTTCCAACGCCGAAGATGCTCGAAGACTCCCAGGACCGTTCTCAGGGCAAGATCAATGCGCCGAACACCTCGAAGCGTCGGCTTGCTGCAGCCGGTGCTCAAATAGCCGCAAATGATGAAGAATTTGGTGATGTTGGGCTGGAAGATGAAGACCTGGCTGCTGCAGGAAATGATGGTTTTGCAAACCTCGACGATTTTGACGATAGCGGTGCACCTCTCAAGAATAAGGCAACATCGCCGTCGAAGGACAATGTCGAGCACTATGAAGCTCGTCAGCTACCAAATGGCAGGTGGCAATGCAATCACAAATGCAAGAAGAAGTGCAAGCACGAATGCTGCGAGAAAGGCCTGGAGAAGAAGCCGAAGCCGCCTAAGCCAAAGGAGCCAAAGAAGACATCAGCTGTGTCTGAGCCACGTCAAACTCAACTTGATCTGATCGCAAGCAAGAAGAATACGGCATCAGCTGCTCAAGCTCCATCCTCTATCGCTCCACCACGCAAGCCAAGTGTCCCCAAAGAAGCCCGCGATCTCGAAAAGCTGCACGACAAGATTCCAAACTCCACGCCTAATGTCCCACTCCTGAACAAGTCCAAGCCGGCAACACTTCAAAGCACTCGACTACCAAGTTTCTTGGCCAAACCCAATAATAATCACGACGACCTCGACGACGACTTTGGACTCAACGACCTCCGCTCAGACGATTTCCCAACAGATTCCGAACTTCTCCCAACCGAACCAGTCTCTCACATGAGCCCATCCACTCACGCCGGTCCCAACTCGAACGATGACGAAGATCTCAACGACGAAGAAATGCTCGACGACCTAGAAGACGACGCCTTCAACTTGAATGCCGATGCAGCAGAAATCACACCTCAACAAGATCAGAACGACAACGACCGCCCCTCCCCCCTCTCCTCCCTCGAATACGAAATCCAAGCCAGCAAGCAGAAATCCATCTTCATCACAGGCGAAAGCACAGATAGTATCGAGAACGAAACAACAAAACACAAACTCGACGATACGGGAAGTCTCTTCTTCCAAGGACCTCCTGTGGCGAAGAAAGTGAAGAGAAGTCCTTCCGTTCACGACGACTTCCCGCAAACGCTCGAAAGCACCACCAAGCCGGAAGAAGAGAAAGAAGAGGATTTGAAAGCGTGGTTTGAAAGGGAATTTGGGACGGAGTATTTTAACTATGTCGGATGAGATGTTAAGCTTGCACGAATGATGGATGGCAGGCAGGGGTTTTGTTCGAAGAGTTCATCACCGTGGTGATATCGACGATATTTTGTCTGTTAGGACCCACAAAAATGAAGAGAGGGGAGTAGCTCGAAACATGTATCGTAGTATCTACACACGCTTACATTCTCTCATCCTGAAGCAAGACAAGACTCTCGAGGTTCATAGTCTAGTCATAACATACAAGCTAACCGATATCCACACTACAATGCTTTTCGTCCTTTGAGCGATGCCGTTCCATTCTTTCTCACCCACCACCCATTACGCCACACCATCCCAAATTTAATTTATACCCGTGTCTCTCTACCTAGTACCGACGCGAAGGCTTCTTTCTTCTACCAGGCGAAGAAGAATCCTAGCTTCCACCACCCGCAGCACCTCCACCACGAGGTCTCTTCGTTTCGCCACCGGCAATGGGTTCGGCGCCATCGTGACTGCGCTTGACACCAGCATTCGATGCAGGCCCGCCGCCGCGAGGAAGGCCTCCTCCACGACCACCTCGAACGCTACCTCCCCGAGCGATGCCGGAATGATTGCCTCTCGCAGCACCCTGAATTGACAATTCGCCGGTACTGGGCCGACGGCTCGGGGCACGAGGGAGTTTGCTGCCGCCTGGAGCAGGGATGCCGGATGTTTGAGCGCGAGGAGCTACGGGTGCGTTTGGCTTGGAAGCGTTGGCAGCGACGGGAGCGCTGGCATTTGAGCTGGTAGATGCGTTGGGCGTGAAAACCGCTGCTTGAGGGTTCGGTGCGGCAGTTGTTGTCTTGGGCGACTGGGTTTGAGGCTCCATTGGAGCGCTTGGTTGACCGAAGGCTGGCTTGACTGGAGCAGGCTGGGCCTGGAATGGTGATGGAGCAACAGCAGGCTTCGCGGGAGTAGTTGCCGCACTTGAGGCACCCGCTGCAGGCTTGGCAGGAGGTTTCGCCTGGGCTGCCACATCAAAGGCCTCCTTGACTGGCATTGTAGGAGTCTCCTTAGCCGCCTTTGCGATAGCGTTCCATCTGGCCTGAGCGATCTCTTTCTGATTGATCATAAGCTTACTGCGCATGTTGAGTTGATCAACAGCCTGCTTAACAGCTGCTTCCTTGGCTTGTTCGGCGGCTGCTAGCTTTTGCTCGAGGTCCTTGATCTTTTCTGAGCTGCCGGCGTCATCAGCCTGAGAGGTTGCAGTGGTAGCACTATCGCTAGTGGTCGCTTTGACGGCCTCGAGCTCTGCTGTAAACTTCTTGATCTCTTCGTCTTTTGCCGCGATCTGCTCATTGAGTTGATTCGTCTTCTTTTCCACATTCGACTTGAGAATGCTGGCGACTGTTGCCTTGACAGATCGATTATTGTGGATCAAGAATCGTACTTGGGGCTCCGAGATTTCCAGATTGGCCAGGTCTAGACCATCGACAGAAGTTGAAGTTCCGCCTTCAGACTTCACGCCATCGCTGGCACTAGAAGCATTGACTTGACTGGCTCCGGCCTTCCCTTCCTTGATCAGACGCTCCATCTCAGCCTGGTGGTCGGCCTTAAGCTTCTCGAGGGCAGCATTGTGCTCATCCTTCAGCTGCTGCATCTCACGATCGAACTGTTCGCGCAGCTCCTTCTGTGCTTCAATGCGTTGCCGCTCCCTGCCATCGTTCAGCTGCTTCCTCAGACCTCTGTCCCGCGCTTCGGATTTCTGCTTGTATGCCTCCTCCATCTGGGTCTTAGCAAGCTCATGCTGTTGCTCGAGCTCTGCACGGAGTTTCGCCACTTCCTCTGCGACTTGATCCGCGACAGACTTCCCGCCTGGTGCAGGCTCAGCATTGACCGTTGATTGAGCCGAGGCGCTTGCGGCATTCGCACGAAGAGTCTCGACCTCCTGTTGAGCAGTTGCGAGCTCTTGCTTTAGCTTGTCAAGCGTCTCTGAGCTCCGTGCCGCTTGGTCGCTGGTGGGATTCTCCTTGGCGTTGCTCAGCTGCTGCTGAAGGTCGGTGACTTGGCCTTCGAGCTCCTGCACACGCGATTGAGTTGTCTGCAATTCAATGGTCAAGCCTTCGACACGGCTCGCGTGTTCGCTGGCGTTTGCTTCGGCCTCAGCAATGCGTGCGTGCAGCGCTGCGTGCTTCTCATTCTGACCTGCAGCTGCTCCATCTTCATCAACTTCACCTTCCTCAGCATCGTCGTCAGCTGGTTTCGAGGGCTTCGTGCGGGCTTCTTCCAACGCAATATTGGCTTGTTCGAGCTGCGTCTTGGTCTGCTCGAGCTCGGACTTAGCAGAAGCTAAGGCGTCTTGCGCTTCCTTCAAGCTGTTCTCAGCCACCTCCAGCTTCTGCTTCAATTCATTGATCTCGTTCTTGTTCTGAGTATTTCTTGTCTTGGACTGATCGATCAGTTTAAGTCTCCTCGTCTCCCAGTCTGCTTTCAATGCCTCCACTAAGGCTTCATGACCGCTGACTTGCTCTCGTAGTTCAGCTACCGAAGATGTCTCAATCTCGAGACGCTCATTTTCGGCTTTGAGCTCTTCGAGGCGCTTCTTCATTTCTTCAAGTTCAGCAGGATCAACGCGATCGTACTTGCTGATGATGTTCTGAGTGCGTTCACGCCAATGATCGCGATCATCTTGAAGCAACTTCATCTCTCCGTCCTTGCTCTCTAGCTCGCCCTCCAGTTCGCCAACACGGCTCTTCAGAGGCTCGATCTCTTCGAGTAGGCGGTCGACTTGCTTGGTCTTCTCTTCTAGCTTCTCTCTTGCTTGTCGGGCATCATTACGAAGTGTTGTTGTAGCCTCGCGGTACGTGTTGAGCTCTTCAATGGTCTGCATGAGCTTGTTGGTGCTGTTTTCGGCACTAGCTTTCTCAGCAGACTGTCTGCGTTCGTCCGCTAGCTTCTGCCGAGCTTCTTCCAGCTGATTTTGAGCATATTCAAGCTGTTGTTGCAGACGCTTGGCTTCTTGGGTCGAGAGCTCATACTGGACATCGACAATTTCCTTTTCGCGTCGAAGGTAGTTGATGACTTCTTGGAGATTGCTGTCGTTTCCAGAAGTTGATGGCGTGCCTTCGCGAGTTTGACCATCAGCAAGCGCAGCGGCGCGACCTTGACGAAGCGCAGCAAGCTCATTTGAGAACGACTCCATCTGCTGGTGAAGCAGCTTGTTCTGCTCATCGGTGTCTTGGCGCCTCCTCTTGACTTCCTCTAGCTCGCGCTCGAACTGATCGCGCTGCTCAGCCCAGCTCTCTTCTGCTTGCTGCAGGCTGATCTTTGCTGCTTCGGCCTCAGCTTTGGCACCGGCCACCTCCGTGCGAACCTTGTTATACTCGCTACGAATTTCCTGCAGCACTTTTGTAGCTTCGCCATGCTTCTGCACTTCGATCTCATAGTTCTCCTGTGCCTGGATAGCGATCTCGGCCTGGGTCTTGACATCGGCCTGAGACATCTTGACTTCCGCCTGATATTTCGCAATGTCATCTTCGAGACGCTTGATAGTTGTCTCGAAAGAAGCTTTCTGGTCGGCGAGCTGGCGTCCATTGTCGTCTGCCTTGCTGCGTAGTTCGGACAACTCCGTGTTTGTGGTTGTCAATTCAGAGTTGAGGTCTTCAATGCGCTGCTCGAGCTCTTTGATCTTGGAGTCTTTCTCAGCAATGAGCTGCTCGGTGTCGTCCTTGTACTGATCAGCGGTCTCCGAGAGGTTGGCAAGCTCCTCTTCAGTAGTCTGTGCAATGGCTCGGAATTGCTCGGCCTGCTGCTTCGCATTCTCCAGCTCGGTCTTGGATAGCTCCAGATCACGACGAAGATCGGACAGCTCGAGAGCAAGTCGCTGCTCTGCTGGGACTTCTTCGCCACTGCCGTTCGGTTGCTGCTGTCCAGCAGTCGTGGGCTCTGCACGGGGCGTAGGCTGAGGCTGGAGAACCTGCACCTTCTCTTCAGCTGAACGGAGCTCGATCTTCAGCTCATCAACCCGAGTCTGCAGTTGATCGCGAGCAGTCTTGGCAGCAGACAACTCTTCGCGCACATTGCCAAGGCTCTTGACAAGATCATCGATGCGGGTCCTGCTTTGACCTTCCTCGTACTGGCGTCTCAAGGCAGCCTTTCTGCTATCTTCGACTTCAGTATTAAGCTTCTTCTTGGTCTCGCCAAGCTCGGACTCTAGCGTATCAATGCGTGACTGTAGGCGACGGCGTGTCTCAGATGTCTCCAGTTCTCGCTCGTTCTGAAGATTCTGCAAATCGGTGACCAGCTTGTTTAGTCTAGATCGATCATCCAAAAGAGTCCTGTTCTCTTCGTTGAGCCGAGTCTCAATGCGCTTCCAGAGCTCTTTCTCGGCTTTCGTGTTGGCATTCTCGTTCCGCAAAGACTCAACCATTGATCGAGCCTCCACGAGCTCTTCCGCCACTTGCTGAGTACGGAGATCCTGCTTTGCGGCTTGCTCAGCCAACTGTTGTGAGCGCTTCTGGAACTCGTTGTTCTCGTTACGCAATGCAGTGAAGTTTGACTGCAGCATATCGTATCGCTCAGAGGCCAGAGTGAGCTGAGACTGCGCGCGAGCGAGATCAGCTTGGAGCGTGCTCTTCTCTCGTGCCAGACTGTCGACCTGCTCCTTGAGTTGCCGTCGATCGGTGACCGACTCATTCCGGAACTGGTCGAAGAACGTTTGCTGCTCCTTGAGTAGCTTGTTGAGGTCATCGACATCTTTGCTGCGTGGTGTTGCTGGCGGACCCACACTGTTGCGCATCGGTGTGCCAGGCGCAACGCTCTGTCCAAACAACGATTGAAGGTTAGCATCAGGATTGAGTTGTCCGCGATGCTGCAACATGCGTCGGAACATGTCGCGCTCCTTCATGTAGCTGTCGATCTGAGTAGCCGTGACTTGCAGTTCGTCCTTGTATCGCTCCACCTGCTGTCTCAAGCTCTCCAGCTCCTCGGCATCGGCAGCCGACTGTCGCGCCTTGTCGCGTGCCTCATCTCCTTCCATCTTCTCACCAAGCTCGCGAGTCAGACGCAAGAGCTTCTCGTTCTGCGATGCAAGATCTGTCACCCCACGGAAGATGACGAGACGCTCAGAGATCAACCGCCCAGTGCTTGTCATGGCATCGAGAGTGTCGTCATCAAGCTCACCGCGGGCAGCACGCTCCAACTCCAACCGTTCGTCTGCTGACATCTCACCCAGACCCTGTTCACGACTCTGAGCTTCAACGAGGAGGATCTTGATCTGAGCAGACATATCTCGCAGCTGTTGTTGCCTGATTGCACTCTCGCGCAAAGCGGCCTCTGCCTCACCTTGCCAGCGTGTTGACTCTCTAATGGCAGTGTCGCGAGCCTCATTGGCTTCGTCCAAGAGACGCGAGAAGTCGAGCACTTCGTTTTCCAGGCGTTCCTGTTCTTCCTTGAGGTCTTCAATTTCTGGCTTGCGAGTCTCAAGCTCCGTTACAAGCTCGTCGAGTGCAGTTGAAAGTTTGTCGGTCCGGCGTCTCTCAGCCTCCAGTTCCTCCTGAGCTTCAGTGTATTTGGTGTAGAGTTGAGTGAAGCTGAGACCATTGACTACCTTCCGCATTGAGCCCGGCATTGCAGATGGCGAGCCTGCACGGGAGCCATAACGGCCTGGGGTCTGTGGCTCGCCGTTTCGCAACGGAGTACCGGGTCGTGAGAGACGAGGTTGCTGCTCAAGGCGCTCGACGGTCAGCTCCAGCTCAGCCACGCGACGCTCTGCAGTCTCCTTGTCTCCGCGCTCTGTCTCAATCTCTGCCTGCAAGCGGCCAATCTCATCAGCAGCTTCGTCTCTGACACGGTCGACTTGAGCCTGCACCTCCTGCAGACGAGCCTTGTGTGTAGCTGCGCTCTGTGCCTGCAGTTCTCCGAGTCGCTTGCCACTATCGAGCTCAGTCTTGAATGATTGCTCCTTCCGAGCGGCTTCTTCTTGCAAACTAGCAATGCGTGCGAAAGCTTCGTCGGCCTTAGCTTGCACATCGTCTAGTCGCTGTCGGAGGGTCGTTTCGGTGCGCTTCAGAGCTTCGACGTTGGCGTTGGCGTCTTCCAGGTCGCGTTCAAGAGTGGAGATGCGTGCATTCCGTTCCTTCCGGAATTTGGTGTGTTCCTGACTGCGCGTCTGAAGCTCGTTGGCATGCCACTCGTTGTTCTTCTTGAGCAATTCGATTTCCTGTTGCAGCGACTGTTCCTTGAACTTTTGCGAGGCAGCAGCATTCTCCAGCGATTGGTTCTTTTCCTCCAGTTGACTAATTTCGCGTCGGAGCGCCAAAATCTTTGAGTGCTGCTCCGATAGCTCCTGAGCGATGCGATCCTTTTCAGCGGACTTGGACTCGACGAGGGCCAATGCTTCGCGATTTGACGTCTCGAGACTCTCGATTCTTTGTCTCAAAGCCTGTGTCTCCGCCGTTGACCCCGAAGAAGATGATCGCAGCTGTTCGAGCTCGGTGGAAAGAGCCTCCCGGGCGGCTTCGGAGTCATTCAGCTTAATTCTCAATTCCTCAACTTCCTTGTGAGCCTTGGTGACAGTAGCCTTCTGTGCTCTGATTTTCGTTTCTGAAGTGCGAACAGTGTTGTCTAGCTCGACATCCACCTTCAGCTTCTCCGCCTTCAGCGCATCGAATTCTTGGGTCTTGGCGGCGACAGACTGCAAGAAGTCGTTGACGAGATCTGTCGTGGGCGCATCGATCAGTGTCTGGATGTCCACCTCGGACACGCCGTATGCCGTCGCGAGGTAGGCCACATCGACCGCCGCCGCCTCGCCTTGCGCGCGCGTCCGCATATTGGTGTAGTGTTGTCGTCGTACTACACCATCTCTGTGAATAGTGCTGGCGTGATCGGCGGCCAATGTGAGGGAGCGTGGTGGTGGAGGTGACGTTGTTTGGCAGGCGCGTCGTTGCGGCTTTGATGTTGTCTGCACGAAGCTCGAATGACAAGGGCCGCGCTTTGACTCTCGGTTGTGCAGAGCCGCATCCGGGATAGTGAACTCTATTGTTCGCAACTGCCTTTGACGACGTTGTTAGCTGACTCTGGACTTTCATTTCTGCATGTGACAGTGAGGCAACGCTCGTTCGCTCATTCACCAACAGTCAGCAGTCACGACCCGAGCTCTGACCTGGAACTCTTCGCTGAACCCTCCAGGTCGTCGCCTTCCACCAACACCTCCGCTATCCACCACCCACCATGTCCCTCCAAAAGCAGCTTGCTAGCTTCAAGCAGGAGTATGGTGATGCTACCACGAGAAATATAACTCACTCTCGACCAGCGGCCGCTGCGCCGGCTCGATCATCAACTCCGAAACCGCTCATAGCCACATCCAGCTCCGACGCCGTCAAGCGCAACCACGATGATGCATTTAGTACCGCACCTGTGCCAGCGCAAAGCCACGGCGAAGAAATGCTCACTCAAGTGCACTTCGCTATCGAGAAGCTCAAGTCCAACAAGTTGGAGGCCATCACCTTCGACGACCTGATCGCCTACCTGTCTCTCCCAAACGACGCCCAGCGCCGAATTCCACTCATCAAGCGCGCACTGCAGGACAGCGACCGCGTAGATTTCATTCCCAAATCTCAAACCAAATCTGGCAAAGATGCATTCCGCTACCGCCCCAAGCACCCAGTCACAAACGCAGAAGAACTGAAAGACTATCTTGCAAAACAAACCACAGCACAAGGTATCCCCGTCCGAGAGCTGAAAGACGGCTGGCCAGACTGCGGTCCAGCAATCGACGAATTGGAACGACAACACTTCCTCCTCGCTACTCGCCGCAAAAAGGATAACTCCGCCAACATGATCTGGCAAGACTCTCCTTCATACCACACACACATTAGTGGCGACTTCAAGGAGTTCTGGTCCAAAACGAAACTGCCTGCTACGGAAACCGAGATACGTACGGATTTGGAGAAAGCTGGAATCACGCCTACGAGTGTGGTCAAGGAAGTTAGGAACGTGAATATGAAGAAGAAGGACCGCAAGAAGCCGAATCGGAGAGGTGGCAAGACGACGAATGTGCATATGCACGGTATCCTCAAGGACTATACGAGAAAATAGAATCCAAACTGAATTGCTTTCGGGTTTCACCAATACTTGGCCACCGCGGAGGGTATAGCATGAATGCAGTTTGAAATTTTTAGCGAGGCGTTGGTGGAACCTGGCTTTGTATGGACGAGGCTCAGAAAGGAAGGCCTCGAAAGACTGCAGCGACAGCATCGCAGAAGAAAATTTACTTGGTGGCCTCATTCCACACATGTAAAATCACAAGAACACAACATAAAGATCTTTCAAGTTGTGGTCCACATTCCATTCCACTGCAACCTCTTGCATGGTGAGTACAGTACAGTTTACCCTGCTGCTCCGACTCGACCTCATGAACGCAACGCTTGGTCATATCCCTGTGTGCTCACAGCTTCCACGTCTTGAAGGCCGATGGAGCATGTTATGACGCGCACGTGGAAATGGCTAGCGTGGTGCAACATCAAACGGGATCGACGCCAGGCTGGAGATGTGAGCGTGGTTTTCGTGCATGGCAGGCCCAGTGCGTTGGTAGAGCACGCTTCCACGCTCGAGCAGTCTGTGTCGCACAGTGAGAGTGCAGTTTCAGATTATTTCGTCCAGGAGACAAAAGTCCAGATGCCTGAACGTAAGGTAAGCGAGCATTTCTCATTTGTAAGGCCTCGTGGTCTGGACGCCGTAGATTCAGCCTCGTCCCTGAACGCCAGCTTTGGTAAGTGTGTCGTTTGCAAACGTCCGACTCGTTGTGCCAGTGCCACTCGGCGCCCTGCATGCGGATCTGCTATAGCCTGTACGAGACAGGCCATATTCTACGTCTCAGCTCAGCAATAGTAGCACATACGCTGTGCTGTGATGCCCTTCTGCGGTGACAGATGACAGATGCACGTCGGTACCGAGCCGGTAGAGACTGAGCAAGATGGTGTCCGCCGGCCGTCCGGCATTCCACCTGACAAACCTTGACCGAATTTGAGACCTCAACGGTGCTGTATGAGTGTTCAGCGCATGTCGTTCCAGAACCACTCCGTTGATCCGTGTATACACACGCTTTAGGTGGATGCCAATATGGAGGGCGATATGGTGGTGAGGCCCTGTCTACTTGCAACAGGTTATCGCATAACCTGGCCGTAGATTATAACAACTCTTCCAATAACTAACCTGTCTTATGCGATAACGGTTATTGAATCGTAGGTTATCGCTGTGCTCGTAAACTCGCTAAGATTATGCTATATATAGTATAATTAGCAAAACTAACTCTTAAGGAGCTTTTAAGCCTATCCGTGCGCCTAGTAGACTTCCGGCCTAGCGCCGCAGTATCTACCTCTTTCTCTACGTCTTTTATAAAGCTACGAGACTAGCGGTATAGCGATCGAGAAGGTATAGGACGGCGGAAGCGAGGATAGAGCGATTATTAGCGGTAGTGTTATCGGTAAGCGCCGTTACTAGCACTATACCGTTACTACTCGAAGAACTATCTAAATTGCGCCGCCGTACGATATATCGACTACTAGGACGAAGGTCGGTTTAAATAGACCGTAATAAGATAGAAAGCGAGGCGTTTCGAGTACTATATAGTCCGCCGAAGTACTACTACGAGCGTACTATTACGGTTACTCGCGACAGATCGTTAAGTAACTTCTTATTACGTGCAAGCCGAGGCTTCTTTAGAGAGGCTAATATAAGCGGGAGGCAGAGACAGAATAATTGGTACAAAGGTAATTCTAATTAGTAAGTAGGTAATATAAGTTGAACGCCTCGAGCTATAAGGGCATTCCGGCGTTCCTAAATACAAAGGAGATGTCTTGTCTATAGTCGTAAGCGACGTAAGCGACGCTATCGCTCTCGACCGCTCCTATCGCTCCTAGTAAGATAGAGCGATAGCTTAGCCTACTAGTCTTAGCGTCGCTCTAAGATTATATAAGGACTCTAACTAATTAGATCCGTAACACTATCCCCCTCCTTAAGCGGAATAGTCCCTTATTCCGGGACTTTCTAATTCTAACTTCTTTATTATATTAAAGTCTACTAAGGATTTGTCTTCTCGCTAGCGTAAGGAAAATATCGCAAATAATATTCTCGCCGACTGCCTCGAAATACCGATCCGCTACTTCTATTGCGAATAGGCTAATAAACCCTATAAAGTCGATCTTCGTTCCGGTCGCTGCTCCGAGTGCGCCCTATACGGCTAATCCTATAATATGCAAGTTACTCGTATAGAGTATAAAAAAATCCGGAAGGCGCGCCTAAAGATAGCTAAAGATCTCGAAGCGGCCGAAGAGGAGGAGGACCTTCTTACGCGGAAGCTTTTCGAGCATCGCGTAAAGGTCCGTCGCTTACGTAAGTCGCTACGTATAAAAGAGGATCGGGAGATATAAGCTCTTAAGGCAGAAGAAGCCTCTATTTAATAGGCGGAAGAGCTCGAAAGAGAGCTAGGCTCTTCGCCTATAGAGCCGATAATATTCTCGTTACCTACTAACGAGCCGTTTCCCCTAGATAGCCGATTATAGATGTCGCCTTATAACTAAAGTCGTCTAGATAGGATATCCTAGCCTGTCTCTGAAATCCCTAGTAGGAGTGCCGAGAGTCTAGTGTCCTAAAGGTATGTATTTTCAATGTTTCCTGTCTATTTTATCTTCTAGCTAGTTAGTCTAGTAGTATAATTCTTAGCTACAAAAGACATAGTTGCTAGGTATGCTATTAGAGTCCCCGCTCCTCGAGCTACACTACCCTAGGTCGTTAAGAACTCTAAGGCGCTATAATCGATAGGGTCTAAGAGGTCGTAGGTTTAATTCCTATACTAGTTATTTCCTTTTTGTCCGGTTTTGATATTTTTTGATTATCTGCTAACAGTTCTGCAGGTTTTCTTTTAGTTCCTAAGTGTTTTCCGAATATAGGTATCCTTTCTATTTAACAAGGTATTTCTGACCTTACTGATCTAGGATTTCCTCGACTTTAAACTTATTTTCTTCCTTAGGTTGGAAGTGAAATGTTTTTTAATACGGTGTTTCGGCGTCTGTAGGTTCTAGTATAGAGATATAGAATACTAGGTGGATTTTCGCGTCGTCCGATAGTTTGAGTCGGTAATTAACTAGTCCTTTAGGCTCATTAATTAAAAATGGCCCGACTTTAATATAGTCTAGTTTCTTAGTCGATCTCCGGGTTTTTAGATTCTTTGTTAGGAGGTAGACCTTATCCCCCTTCTTTAGCTAAGGTGCTATTTTTCGTTTAGCATTATATAGTCCCGTAATCTTTTCCTAAGACTCGGCAATTGCGTTTTGCAATTCTTTATATACCTGCTTCAAGTCTTCTAAAGCGACTATCGCTTTATCCGCGTATAGATGCTGTAAATACTGTTCCCCGAACAGCTGCGGATATTTTCTAAAATTAGCGAAGAATAGTGTCTCTTTCGTAGTCTTAGATTGTTAGTTATTTAGTATAAGTTGTGCTATAGGCAATAGCGATGCCTAATTGTTTTATGCGTAATTGACGTAGTGCCGTAAGTATACCTCTAAGGCCTGATTCTTAACTTCCGTTTAGCCGTCTGTCTATAGATAGTATACCGTTAATAGCTTGTACTTAATTCTAAGTGTCGCTGTAAGCGTCTTCTAGTAGTTTGACGTAAAGAGCTTGTCTCTGTCCGTAATATAGGTCTTTAGAAATCCGTAGTATCGCATAAGTCTATCTAGTACGAGGTATCCGAGTTGCTCTGCCGTACTTGCTTCGTTAGTAGGAATGAAGTGTGTATATTTCGTAAGCCTATCGACTATAATAAGTATTATGTCGTAGCTATATCCTATAACCGGATCCTTAGACTTCGGTAGTTTCGTAATAAAGTCTATTATAACTTCGTCCTATAGTTTATCTAGTAGCGTCCTAAATTAGATATGTCTATATTTAGCGTGTCTATTAGCTTTGTTACGCTAACATTGTGGACATTTCTTAATATATTCTAGAACTCGTTGTCGCATATGTAGGAATCCGAAGCTTCGCTTAACTAGTTCTATTGTTTTTAAAACTCTAGGATGTCTAAATTCGGGTCCGTCGTAGTGTTGTCGTATATACTCCGTAACTCGTTCCTTAGGTACTTAGTATTTCCTATATTCGATTGGGAACTGTTCTTCTGTGTCCTAAAGAACTCGTATAATGTAGTTGAATTCTTTTATGTTAGCACTAAGGCTTCCGTCTTGGTTTGTTTTTAATATCTGCTGCTACACTAGTTCGTAACCCTCTATATAGTCGCTACGGCGGCTTAGTGCGTCGGCTCGTCCGTTCTCGCGTCCTAGGGTATAGCGGATTTCGAACTTATACTGTCCTAGCAGCTCCGACTAGCGGGCCTATCTTCGGGTTAGTACTTTAGTCGTAGTAAAGTAAGTTAGATTCTTATAATTAGAAAGAATCGTAAGACTTAGTGCTCCTTCCGCGTATACTCGCTAGTATTGCAGTAATGCAACTATTGCAAGTAGCTCCTTATTATAGATATCGTAGTTCTATTCCGCGGGTAACATCTTTCTCGAGTAATAGGCTACCGGGTATCGTTTCCCGTTATGCTCCTGTATAAGGTATGCTCCTATAGCCCTATCCGACGCGTCTGTTTCTATCTAGACCGCCTTATTTCCATCGAATAATCGTAGTATTAGCGCAGAAACGTATTGCTTCTTTAGCTGCCTAAACGCTTCGTCTTCCTTCGTGCTCTAGTTCTATTTCTTATCTTTCTTTATAAGCTCCGTAAGGGGTGCCGCTGTCTTAGAGTAGCCCTCGATGAATTTTCTATTATAGTTAGCTAATCCTAGGAATGATTGTACGTCTTTAACGCATGTAGGCGTTGGCTATTCCTATATTAACTTAGTTTTTTCTAGATCGATCCTAATTCCTATAGTGCTAATAATAAATCCTAGGAACTTAACTTCCTTCTTATAGAATTCGCATTTCTTAGGTGCAGTCTTAAATCCTACTTAAGTAAATCGTTCAAAGACGTCCTACACTATTCGTATATAGTCCGCGAGAGCTCCCTTAGTATAGACCAAGATATCGTCTATATATACGATAACGCATATATCTAGAAGGTCTCGGAGGACTTCGTTTATAAGGTCTTAATATAACGCTAGGGCATTTGTAAGTCCTATAGGCATAACCAAGAATTCGTAAAGCCTATATCTTGTTCGGAATGCTATTATCTATTCGTATCCAGCTGCTATACGTATTGCGTAAAACGCATCGCGTAGGTCAATCTTCGTATACTAGTCTAATCTAGTTAATCGGTCTTACATTTCTTCGATGTTCGGTAGTAGGTACCGATTCTTAATTGTAATGTCGTTAAGTCGTCTAAAATCGACTACTAGCCGTCCTTCGTCTAATCCGGCTTTCGGAACGAACATTACTAGTAAGGCTGCCGAGGATATCGACTTCCGTATCTAGCCTTTTTCTAATTTCTCTTTTAGCTACTTGTCTAGGGTTTTAAGCTCTTTCTTAGACATTGCGTATAAGGGTCCCTATAGAGGCTCTTTCCTAGGCTGTAAGTGTATCTTATAATCCTATAGTTGGTGTTTAGGTAAGGCTGCCTTGCCTCTCTCCTCTTTAAAGAGTCGTTTCTACTTACTATACTCTTTAGGAATATCTAGGTCCGAGATTCTGGTTTTATTCTTCGATAGCGTATAACTTCTATCCTTCCCGTAATTATTATTATAACCCTCCTAACCTAACGGTAGTGTCGATCCGGGTTGAATACGGTTCTCCGTAATTCCTGTCGACGTAAACGTCTTACGAGTTATCCTGCGTTTGTTAATCTTATCTGCCTGCGAACGCTGCCGCTATATAGGTTGAATGCCGATTATATAGTCGCATTCCTTAAATGTAAGTACTCCTCTTCTCTAGTCTACGACTAGGTTATGCTTTCTTAACTAAGGTATACCTAATATAATGTTATAACTAGCTATATTAGTAACATCTAAGACAATCTCCTCGTAGTGCTATTAGATAGCTAGTAGTAACGGTATCGTTTCTCGTTCTATACTAGGTAGCGGTGACCTATCTACTGCTATAAGTTTATACGCTCCTTCTCTTCTACTTCGGGTTGCGATCCCTCGGCTTTTAACGAATGATTCGGAGGCAAAGTTCCCGCTCGCTCCGGAATCTATTAATACACTCGTCGGGTGCCCGTTAACGATAACTTTTGTACGGAAGACTGCTATTAATGCTTAAGCGCTTTCGGTGTTAAGGAACTCTCTTAGAACGCTCTAATCTAGAGAGTTAGTCCGTTTCCCGACTAATTAGTAGCCTAACGTTGTTCCAACTAGTTACGGATCCGTAGTCCTACCGTTCGTGCTTCTTCGGTATATAATTTTTCCTCGAGGGTATTATTATATGTATCCCGTCCCTGCGCTGCTATAGCCTTTCGGTATTGCTAATTTAATCGCTAGACCGTCTAACGTATCTCTTAAGTAATAATCGTCCTTTCGTCGGGTAGGACGTATCCGTAGGGCGTAATTATACTTCCTATCGGTACTCGCTCCGTAATGAAGTTATAGTACGTATAGTCTATAGGTATTCGGGGGTAATTCTAGAATTTTGCCCGTAAGCTTATCTAGAAATAATCAAATTAGATAGGATCGATCCTCCGTTGTCCGTTAACCTTTAGAAACATTTCCTCGTATTTGCGTACTAGATATAAGGCGATTGTTCGCGCTACTATAGGTATATCTATTGTAAACGTAAGGATCGTATCGTCGTTAATCCCGAATTCGTCTTTACTTTCTTTATTCGTAGTTTCTTCCTCGGTATCTAGACTTCCTTCTAACTCTTCTTGCTGTTCCTCCTCTTACTAAGGGGACTCCGGTACTTCTAGGATAGCTCCTAACTCCTCCCCGGGAGGGAATGAAGCTTCCGGATCTCGGTTTTCTTTATCGTCGGTATCTAAGCAAGATTTATCAATCGTTTCTTCTTCTAACTAGGATTTCGCATCTTCTCGTACGAGTCGCCTAATCTAAGGGAAGAATCCTACTTCTACTTTAGCAGAATAATAAATTTAGTATTAGTCGTCGTAATAGAATCTCTAGTAAAGGGTTCTATATATAGGTTCTTGTCGTCGTGCTATTATATAGATTTGTCGTAGCTCTTCCTTTACGACCTCTACGTAGGTCCTCGGCGCGTTATTAATAGAGTATAGCTCTACTACTATTCGGTAGCCTTCTCTGCCCGAGTCCTTTCGTTATATTATATTAAACTGTTCGCGTCGCACTATATTCTTACCGCGGCAGTTCCGTACTATATAGCCTTCCTTACTATACGTATAGTAAGTCAATCTTCCTACTTTCTTAGGCGAACTCTTGCCTTTTCTTCCTTTAATTGCTCGACCCTTCTAGGTAGCGTCTAGCTCTATTAGTTATGCACCGTAGTAGTTGTTCCCCTTTAGTTTATCGTAGATACTATAGTTTCGTCTATTATCGTATCTAGGAGTATAACTAGCTTTTCTAGAAGTCTTGGAATCGTAACGTCGTTCTAAAGCTCGTTCGTAGAGCCTATCGTCGAGATCGATCGTAACCTTAACTAATGTTCCTATATTATCTATTTTTCTACCGTCGCGTATAAGCTTGTCTTTAACGTTGTCCTTAAGACCTCGCCGATATATTGTTATAAGAGCTTCGTCGTCCTAATCCGTAAGTTAGGCGTATTCCTAAAATTTAGCGGCGTAATCGGCATACGACCCCTTCTAAGTTAAGTGTTAGATAACCCTAACTGCGGTAGCAACTTCGTTAGAAGATCTAAAGACCTTCTTTATCGTACGCTTAAGATTTTCGTAGCTTGCGAAGATTCTATCCGAATTGTCGGTTCCGTTACTATCTAGATAGGTCCTAAGAAATAGTTTAACCTAATACTAAGCCCTGCCTCGTATAAACGTCGTTGCGAAGACTGGCTTTAAGTTATCTTAAACCTAGTTGAACATGAAATACATATCTATTTAGCTAACCTAGGTATCGAATTTGTCTCGGTCGCCGTAATAAAAGTCTAGCTTTCCGATCTTAAGAGAATCGTTTCCGGCATAGGTTCCTAGTATATTGCTAGCACTAGAGGTAGTACGTCGAGTACTGCCTGTCTCGCTAGGGGCGGGAGTTCCCCTTCCGACTTATAATAAGGCACTTATCCTAAGGGCGTTTAAAGTGTTACGGTTACTCGCGACAGATCGTTAAGTGACTTCTTATTACGTGCAAGCCGAGGCTTCTTTAGAGAGGCTAATACAAGCGGGAGGCAGAGACAGAATAATTAGTATAAAGGTAATTCTAATTAGTAAGTAGGTAATATAAGTTAAACGCCTCGAGCTATAAGGGCATTCCGGCGTTCCTAAATATAAAGGAGATGTCTTGTCTATAGTCGTAAGCGACGTAAGCGACGCTATCGCTCTCGACCGCTCCTATCGCTCCTAGTAAGATAGAGCGACAGCTTAGCCTACTAGTCTTGGCGTCGCTCTAAGATTATGTAAGGACTCTAACCAATCAGATCCGTAACACGTACGAGGTTAAAGCAGCCGGTATTGCGCGCGTTAGTTAATAAACTACGGAAGAATAGATTAGAAGGTAAGAATAAGAACAAATACTCGCTAGAGGCACGCGTTATCCTCTTCCTAGTTATAGTAGGGCATAATAGGAGCCTTAGCAACCTCGCTAACGACTTCGGTATAGCAAGAGAGACACTAAGAAGGATAATATATACTATGTCGCGCTGTTTGTGTCGTATAGCAAAGGACTAGATCAAATTGCTATAGAAGGACGATAAACCGCTATAGTCTAAGGGTGCCGATAGTAGCAAGTTTTAGCTATACTTTAAGGGCGTTATAGGCGCTATCGACGGCACTTTGTTAATAGCTAGTCTACCGAAGATTAATAGCAATCTATAGCGTTGTCGGAAGGGCTATATTGCGCAGAATGTAATAGCCGCCTATAACTTATTATTGCGCTTCTTATTCGTAATGCCTAGATACGAAGGATTAGCGATAGATAGCACTATATTAAGGAAGGCCTATTAGTTAGGCTTCGACGTACTAGATAGCTATTTCTATCTCGCTAACGGTAGTTATTCGTTCAAAGATCTACGGCTTCTCGTACTATATTAGAAGACACGATATTATCTCCGTAAGTAAGGCGAGGCTAAAGAACGACCGGCTAACTATCGAGAGATATACAACCTCCGCTACGCTTAGCTTCGTAACTGTATCGAGAGGGTATTTGGTATAATAAATAGGCGGTTTAAGATTATTAAGGAGGGACTAAATAGCTAGCCGATTGCTTAATAAAGTCGCTTTGTTATCGCCTGTTATATTATCTATAACTTTATCCTATCCGACGGTCGACAACCGCTATCTTTAGAGCTAGGCCTTCTTCTAACTAATACTAAATTAAACGCCGCCCGAGAGGCCGATACTACGGCGGAGGTCTATATCGATAATAGGCGCTACGCCGACGAGGTTAAGGATAAAAGTTACGCAAATTATCGTAATAGAATAGCGAGGTAGATGTATAATAAATATAACGGTAATCAGTTAAGAACTGGACTTAATATAAGGGCTTAAAAGTAGGAGGTGCTGCTTAGAGTACGGCGAAGGATATAATAGGGGAGGGTTGATGTTTATAGAATATAAAGGTAATAGGCGGAGTTCGGTTTTTAGTAAGGAACTTAGTATAGAGTCGATTTATAGGCTTAAACCGTACATATTCTAGACATTACTGTCGCCTTTTCTACGCCTACTACTTCTCTAGTCGAAATTCTAGTAGGGTCGATATCGCAGGTTCTTAGCAAACTTCTACGATATTAGAATTCGAGCTAGTAGGATATAGCTTTTCTATATATAATAGGCCCTCGTACGTAACTACAATTTGCTAGTAAAAATTAACAATACCTCTATACAAATTAATAGTATAGACGTTAGCGTGCATTTCTACTAAAATTCTACACCTAATCTACGAATTCTCGCATCGAACTATATAATTATAGTATAGATATCTACTTCTTCCGCTATTTCTAAGCATTCTTATTAACAACAACCTATTATCTGTATCCTAATAGTACGTATCTACCTTCTATCTGCTATAGGTATGTATTCTAGCGAATATTAGCCTTAATGTCCGTTAATACGGACAGGAAATACTCTTTAAACTGCTCCTAGTTTATACTCGAAGCGACTTTATAATAGTTAAATTCCTCGTTCTTCTTCGCGTACTCGCGCACTAACAATATGCGATTAGCTAACGGTATGTCTATCTTTGCGAACGTCTTATTATCTAGCAGTCGCTTTGTAACGTTACTAACGATAGTACTAGCTTTAGCAGCCGCTAGAGCGTTAGTACGTTACTCGTCCGCTAACTTCCTCGTTAAAGCTCGTTCTTCCTTACTATCCTTTACGACCTTAGCGACTATTAAGACTATAGGCTTAAACGCCTTCTATAGCGACTTTACAATAGTTAGGTTCTTTTTACTAACCTCCTCGGCCTTCTTATAGACCCGATTAGCCTCCTTCTACATCTTCTTTTAGTGCTTTTCCGCCGCCTTCGCTATATGTAACACTATTAATTGCTCTTCCGTAAAGGGCGTAGAAGCTACGCCTTCGGCGGTGACCTTAACCTTAGATTCCTTACTACTACTACCGCCTTCCTCGTCGCTTTCGCTAAAAGCCTTATTAGACATTATATTCTCGCCCGTAGCTACCTTAGAGCCGATTAACTCGTCTATAATATTAAAGAACTCCGGCAATTTATCGCGGAAGGGAGTATACCTTAGATTCTCGTCGAAGTAAGCGTCTTCTACGTCCGACTCGGCGGTTAGAGATATACTATTCTAGCTACTTATATGCTTTAAGTAAGCAATCTATATACTCTAGTCCTTCTTAATTAACGTCCACTTGTTCTTTAGGTAGTTAGTAGTGCGCTCCGTGCTATACTTCTTATTTATTAACGTTGCTAGGTCTCGAAGGTCGCCTAACTAGAAGTTATTAGTATTAGTACTACGGCTAATCTTCTTAAACTTATTTAACTAATCGAGGAAATACTCGGTCTACTCTTAAGTCTACTATTGCGGCGCTTTGCGTTACCTATCTTTATTAATTAGTATTGCAGTCGCTATACGCTTCCGAGTCGCCTTTAGTACTAGAGTCTTTAATAGAGCCTAAGAAGGTTGAGACTCGCTCGATTAAGAGGCTATAATATCTAGTATTCTAATAGCTTTAAAACGAGAGATTAGCTACTCGACTAACTATCTTTTTATATAGTAACTATACTATAAACTATATCTATCGAAAGTACTCGTCCTCCCTACCCTTCGTCCGCCGATTTCCTCGTTATTATACCGCCTATACCGCTATCGATATTATATATACTACTAGAAGCTATACAGTCTACTGCACGACCTTAATAATTATTATATAGTAAGAGGTAGAAGATGGAAATGTAGCTGCCGAGCCGCTAGCCGCGGAGGCTTAATATGTGGGTCTTAATACCTAGCATTGTCTAATAGATAACCGGTTATAAGGCGCCATAACCTGAGCCGTTTATGAGGTTATTATAATCTCTCAGGTTGCGCTATAACCTGTTGCAAGTAGACAGGGCCTGATGGATGCGACACAGAGGCCGAGGAAAGGAGGAACGTGTGCGGTCCTAAATTTGGGGAGCCGCCTTCCTCGACCAGGCTAGCCCTGTGTTCACGTGGGAAGTGCCAGTAAGCACAGCGCAGCGCAGCTATATAGACACGGCTCTCCACCATTCCTCCGACCAGCTCAGGGAGAGTTTCTGCTGCAGGACGATCCTCTCGCTTGTCGCACCCACCAAGCCTAGCCTCGAACGATGGCCGGCGTAGGCGTAACGGTAGGCTGTGACGGCTGGGTGAATAATATTATTAGAATATATGCACAGCGCCCACCCGCACGAGCGCCAGCGCCAGCGCCAGACCCACCGTTGGAGAGACCACCGTTACAACTTACTAGGTCACTGCACGGCTCCCTTTCCTTTGCCCGCCTTCCTTGTGCTACACGCTTTGGTTTCCATTGCCTCCGAGGCCCCGATCCATTCTTATACATACATACCACTGCCTCCCAGCTGCGCGACCTGACTGCTTCATTGATTGCATAGCAATTGTCCAACACAGCATCATGGCTTCCGTCATCCAGTCACCCGCAGAGCATTTGCTCTACGCAGCCAGCAATGCCACACAGGCCGTCAAGAACGTCGCCCTGGACGGCCCTCTCGACAACACCACATCACTTTTCACACAGCCAAAGTTCATCCTTATTTTCCTATTAGTCATTACTGTCGTCGCCGCGAGAGTCACGGGCCAGAAGCAGAAGCTGCCGGCCGGCGTGAAGCCTCTCCCACGGAAAGGGCCTGGTCTTCCATGGGCAGGCCGATTTTGGGATGTGCCGGGCCCCGGTATTGAGGCCGCATGGCATTTCGGCGAGCTTCACAAGAAGTACGGTCCAATCTACGAGTGGCAGGTGATGGGTACCCTTCACATCTGGATCGAGACCGACAAGATTGCCAAGGACCTGTTTGTGACGAGACAACGGAACTACTGCGATCGCAACGAGCTGCCCGCCGCTGTTGGTGTACGTGAGGGCGCTGAGATTCTGCCACTCATGGGCTACGGCGAGCAATTCCGACGATACAAGAACTTCATGCACTTGATCATGCGACACGCCAACCCACGCACTTTCTACGGCTGGCCCGCAGACGAGAACAAGCGAACTCTCCGTCGCATGCTGGAAAACCCAGATCACTGGTCTGAGCACATGCTGGTCCACTGCGCACGCACAATCGCCGGTGTTGCCTGGGCCGATCCACGACACGGAAGCAAGCTTCTCACCATTATCCCCATTATTCTCAAGGCTGTCTCGCCAGCCGGCCCTCTGATCAATAAGCTTACCTTCCTCTCCAACTTGCCAGAGTCTGTCTCGCCGTGGAAGCAGCAGGAGCAGATCCGCAAGAAGCAGATGTCTGACGCCTTCATGGAGGCGCTTCAGGACGCCCAACAGAAGTCCCAGGAAGGCCGTCTCGAGGGTTCGTGGAGCAAGCTCTGGCTCGAGAACGAAAAGGGTACCGAGCACCTCGACTTCTACGAGGCTGCACACGCCATCGGATCCAGCTCTTTCGTCGCCATCGCTACTGTTGGGGGTCCACTCCACGCTTTCTTCACTGCCATGTGCCACTACCCATCTTGGCAAGCGCACGTGGTCGAGGAATTGGACCGTGTTTGCGGCAACCACCCACCCGAGATGAAGGACATGCCAAATCTGCCACGTCTGCGAGCCACCGTCAAAGAAATCGTCAGATGGCGACAAGCCACTCCTCTCGGTGTTCCACACGTAGTGATGGAGGACGACGTCTATGAAGGCTACCACATTCCAAAGGGCGCCATCTGCCACGCAAACCACTAGTAAGCGCAAACCCAGCCGAACGGTCGGAAACTGCAAAAAGCTAACTGTTGACAGCCTCATTTCCCGTGAAGAATCCACCTACCCACAAGGCAACGAATTCAAGCCCCAAAGATTCCTCGACCCCAAATACCCAACCTACAAGGAACCCCTCACCGAATTCCCCAACCTCAACGGCGACCGCGCCTTCGGCTACGGCAACCGTTCCTGCCCAGGCGTCGACCTCACCCAAAACGAACTCCTCACCCTCATCGGCTCCCTAATCTGGGCCTTCGAAATCAAGCCATGCGAAGGCGGCAACACCCCGGCGGTCCCATGGTACGAAACCGCACCCTGGGTCATCACCATGAGCAAACCCTTCAAATGCGACATCAAAGTACGCTCCGAAGCCAAAAGACAATATATCCTCAACGAAACGCCAGAAGGGGGGAATTTGATTATTGATAATGAGAAGCAGCGGACGGATAAATGGCAGGTTGTGAGGCCGCCCGGTCAGGAGTTTTTCGCTTGGGACGGGCTTACGGATCAGGCTTCGGGGACTTGGAAGAAGTATCCTCTTGGTGTGTAGGAGGAGATTATTGTCGAGATGGAATGTGAGATGCATGGCATGGCGTTCGTTGGTGTCAAGTGGGTGGAAAGAATGCCGTTAAGACTCTTTAACTACGGTTGGGGTTCGCGAGTTATTTGGAACTAAGTTTAGTTCTTACTAGTTCTTTTTTATCGGTATGTTATCTAAATCTCAATCTTTACCAGTATGCCCGAGAATTTATTATAGTAGGGAAGTAGATAGCTTTTATTGTTATGCGAAAAAATCTAGAAATCTTATTAACTTTTCTTCCCCTTAATCGATGGCACGTTATGGGAGGTCGGATTTGTTTTTGACGATAATACATGCTGTTTGCAGTTGGTTGAATGCAGACACTCTTGAAGGCTGTGGTCGGATAGAGATATAGATAGTACCTTACCGCGACTCGGTCACAGGACGGAATTTTTCGGTAATAAGTAGAAAAGAAGGAGGAATGGTGGAATGCTTCCGACTCCATTTAGATGCTATTCGGACTACTATATAGCACGGCCTGCCCGGTTAGTAAGGCGAGAAAATTCTGAAAATTCTACTAGGAATTCTAAGGTTATAGGTAGGTAGTAAGTCCTCATTAGTATCTATCGGCTCGGATCATGATCGTGCATAATTGCAGAGACTAAAAGGGTGAAATGACACACGGGACAATGAATGAATGGTTGTAGCCTGAGAATGGAAGTGGAGTCGATTACGTCCACGGGATGTCTAGTCTATCTAAAAGCACTGCTCTGCGCAGGAAGCATTATTCCTCCGGCTGGCGCTCACCCGCCAGCAGCGATAGCGTAGCAGCGCTTTCCCGAACCGCTCGCGCCACGACTCCACGAAACGAGCCTTCTTCCAAAACTTGTATGCCCGCAATCGTGCAGCCTCCCGGCGTCGAGACACGATCGCGAACCAGCGCCGGATGTTCTCCTTCAAGCACCAAACTCGCCGCACCCTTCATAGCTTGTGCAGCCATCTCATAGGCCTGCGCACGAGGCATGCCCTTGGCAATAGCACCCGAAGCCATCGCCTCCATCATGACCGCACACAACGCAGGTCCCGAAGCACATAAAGCCGTAGCGGGATTCATGCGCGACGAAGGAACATTCGCGACCCTACCCACTCTGCTAAAGATCCAATTCACAAGGGTGGAGTTTTCTTCCGAAAGAGCAGCAGAGGCAGAGATTATAGTCATGGATTCGCAGACTGAGGCAGCGATGTTGGGGATTGCTATGACGATGGTGCATTTCGAGGTGTGTGACTGTGACTGTGACTGTGGTGGAGGAGGTGGCGCGGATTGGTAGAGAGTATCGTGAATGTAGGTTTCTGGGACTCCGCCACATACGCTGATGAGCAGCTTACCTGCAAGTGCGTCTCTGATGCCTTCTTCGCGCAGGACATGGCCTACAATGTGGGGCTCACATGCGAGTATGATGGCGTCGCTTGCTTTTACAGCGCCCAGGTTGTCGTTTTCCCAGACGATGAGGTCGGCGTGGTATTTTCCAAGCTCTTCTCTGATTCTTTTGGCGCTTGAGGAGGTTTTTACGCAGGCATTGAACTTGTTTGGTCGCCGATCGGGGATGGCATGTGGAGTGTTGGTGCGGTGGTCTGACTTGGACTGCAACTGCAACTGCAACGAGGCCATGACGCCTCCAAGGATGGCACTGCCCATGGTGCCGCACCCGAGCACCGCAAGAGTGAGCCCTCCATCTTGTGCTCTCAGCTCCGGCTTGCTTCGGACAAATGCATTGTGGGCTGTATTCTGAGCAGAGAGGGCTTGCTGTAGGATCCAGTCCGGGGCCAAATCTTGGGCCATGTGCTCAACAGTTGGGGAGGTGATGTTGCGAGGATGCGGTATGGTATTGCTCGCGCCATCGCCGACTCGGCCGCGACCTCGCACATAGACATCTCCAGGCCTGCCCCCCTGCCTAGAACTACCCGATTGAGACAAGTGGTTAGGGCTTCGCTTCAAAAGTTGCCGAGCGGATGTGCCATGTGCTCCCCGGCGCCACGATTCTTCGTGCGTCTACAAATCAGCAGGCGCGAGAGAATGCGATGCCATCATGCCTTGCCTCGAATATATGATGTACTCCGCACGCGGCAATCTAGACGGTTCGGCACACGGACACGTCGCTCGGCTCGTGGGCCAATGCCAGTCCAGCCTGACTCTGGGGCCCCAGACCGCACATGTCAGTGGTGGGTGAAGACGGGGCATTGATATAGTCAGGGTCGTCCAACACTCCCCCCGAGCGTCCTTGGTCTCGCCACCTCGCCATTTCTCTTCCCACCTCGACCTCACGCCTCTCACGCCGTCTACCGCTCACCATGTCTCAATGGCGGCATGCATTCTCGCTGTCGAAGCAGCAAGTCGCTGAGGCCGCCCCACCAGGAACGACCAGACTTGTTGGTATGTAGTCTCCAGACGCCGTCCAAACGATTCGCCGCATCGATATGCCGACCATTCGAGCGTCGACTGATTGATTGGCCAGAACACGAGAACCACGATCACATTGCACTAATTCCACCGCCGACGCTGAGCCCAAGAGATCCGCTGAACTGGCCAACATGGCGGAAATGGACCGTGCTCCTGATCATGTCAATCTACTGTGGATCGGTGAACTTTGGCTCAGCATCGGTTGCTCCAGCTCTCACACTGCTCATGGCTCAGCTGCCACAAGCGTGGCATCGACCTCCTCCAGCGTTCAGCAGTCTCACTCATCTGGTAGCCTTCAATGTGCTCATGATTGGTGTGAGTAATATCGTATGGGTGCCACTCGCCAATACCTTCGGACGAAGACCAATCCTCATCGCCGCCATGGCCATCAGCGTCGCCGCCACCATCTGGTGCGCAGAAGCGGAAAGCTTCCACAGCTTGCTCGCTGCTCGGGCCATACAAGGATTTGGGTTCGGTCCAGCTGATACTCTCGCTGCAAATGTGGTCGGCGAGGTCTTCTTCGTACACGAAAGAGGACGAGCGATGGTGAGTACTAGTGGGACGCTCCACGTACAAGTTGAATGTCAACTGATATTCACTTCCAGGCCGTCTACACTCTCTTCCTCTCCAGTGGCTCTTTTATCGGCGGGCTCGGAGGCGGATACATCGCAGCATACCAAGGATACAAGTACATTTTCTGGATCAGTCTCGCACTCCTGACTTTCTGCCTAGTCTGCGAAATCATGCTGGTCCCGGAAACCACCTTCGACCGCGAAGCCCAGCTCCTGCGAGACCACGAATGCAACTCCGGCGAAGGCGCCGTCGGCAAAGAGAAGAACACCGTGGACATAATCGAACAAGCCTCCCCATCACCCTCCTACCACGACACCTTCACCTTCGCCCAGAGCCTCAAAGTGGGCATCTACCGCGGCAATCTCTTCCGCAACTTCCTCGCACCCTGGTACAGCCTTGCCTTCCCAGGAACCTGGGTCGTCATGCTCCACTACGGCGGCCTCCTCGGCGGGCTCGTCACAATCTCTACCGTCGGCCCCCAATTCCTCGCCATGCCACCCTACCTCTGGGGCAACAACGTCGGCCTCCTCAACATCGGCCCTATCATCGGCGCCCTCCTCGGAGGCCTCATAACCTTCTTCACCGCAGACTTCGCCACCAAACGTCACGCACGCAAAGAATCCCACGGCCTCGCAGAACCCGAATCTCGACTCCCGGTCATGTTCCCAGCCCTCTTCCTCGCCACAACAGGAATCTGGACTTTCGGCTTCTGCGCTGACAACCCCTCCGAACACGGTTGGGTGGGCATGCTCGTCGGTTTCGGCATGATAGGCGCAGGCATCATGCAAATCCCCTCCGTAGGTTTCAATTACCTCATCGACGCGTATCACGTCGTTGCGGCGGATTGTTTTGTTATGACGACGATTATGCGAGCGGTTGTGGGTTTCGCTTGGACGTATTTTGTTAGTGATTGGATTCAGGATCAAGGTGCTGCTTTGCCTTTTGGGATTTTTGGAATGCTTATGGGGATTTTTGCGATCTTGACGATTCCGTTGTGGGTGTTTGGGAAGAGGATGAGGATTGCTACGGCGGGGTTGTTGCCGAAGGTTGAGGAGTGAGGGAAGAAGAGGAGGAGGAAAGAGAAGTGTTATTTATAGCAGAGGATCATTTGAATGAAACAGATTGCGTGTTTGACAGATGTTTTCAGGTCTTGCATGTGTCTTCTCTCTTCATTTGTCTTCCACGTTCCCTAAACCTGTTCTGGAATGATAAAAGGGCCCGGACGATGTTGTAGGTTGAACGAGAGACTTCTGCATGCTCCACGCCTTGGACGCGGCAACATGGTAACCACTTTCCGTTCTCGCCAGGACTGCACCACACCAGCTTCCTGTTGGTAGAATAAGGTTTCCCCTATGAGCACACATTTCCGATAGCTAAGACAAGTGAAGCATGCGCCAAGAACTTCGCCCATGAAGGAAATTCAATCTCCCAGGCACAATGCATCCTTTGGGACGGCGCAGGGACTCCGGTACTTAATGAAGTGATGGTGCATTGCGAAGCAAACATGGACTCGAATAAGGAGCAAAAGACCTTGCTGATTGGGCCGGGCCATAGTCAATCAATCAGAAAAGCCTCTAGAATACAAGCCACATATCACTCTCCGCGAAAAAAAGGCACCCCTAGGGAATGCATGCATCCTTATAGTCATAATCCCATAAACTCATTCAAGCATCAAAAACAATCAAAGTCAATGTTTCAGGAACCCTTCTGCTCCCCATCCCTCCCCCTCAAACCATCAGCAATCAAAGAACTATCTCCCATTAGACCCTTGCTTAGAGCGCACGAGCCACCGGTTTATTTATAAACCCCTTGCGCAGCAAGGGTCTAACAGCAAAACTAGCGATCGGGTTAGATTCAAGATCCCTATTTTGCGACTTTGCATACAACGCGATATATATTAATATTTTATAATACGGGCGTAGAGTAGGCAATCGGATATTATTCTATCTAAAAATTATATTAATGCGACGTTAGGTTGTTGTGTTATAGCTTATAAGCCGACGGTACTGCCTAGCTAAAAGCCGGCTTTAGTAATAGACTTAGTCTTACTAAAAACACCTATTTTAAGATATAGCCTATATAATATAGAAATACCCGGAGGTCCTAGCGGTGCCAATTCTATAATAATCCCCGTTTAGTATATATATATACGACACCGTAGTATTGTATTGTATCTAAAAAGCGGAGGTCACTTCTTGCTATATACTAAGGCCTAGCTTTGTCGACTTTATATATGTTTCTAGTCTGTGCGTCTTTATGTGTTTACTTACAACGCGTCGCTCGCGGGCACTAGTCGCTTCTATTATAACCTGTTCCTTCGACGCCGTCGCTATTAATCTTGTCGTAACAATCTAGCACTTAATCTAGCACTCAATCTAGCACTTAATCTAGCACTCAATCTAGCACTTAATCTAGTATTTAATCTAGTATTTAATCTAGCGATAATGTCGGACAATAGCGACACTATTATAGCCGATATAGACGATAAGCCGCTGCTAATAGAGCCTTCTAGCTTACCTATGCTACTATAGCAATATAATGTATTCGATACGAGCGAGCTCGGCTTAGCGCTGCTATTAGACTAGCTTGCAGATATAGCAGCAGAACATAGCCTCGTAGAATATAGCCCTTACTAGACGAGCGAGCTCTTAGCGCTGCCTTTAGACTAGCTTAAAGACATAGCAGCAGAATATAGCCTCGTAGAATATAGCCCTTACTAGACGAGCGAGCTCTTAGCGCTACTATTAGACTAGCTTAAAGACATAGTAGTAGAACACGGCCTTCCGACAGCGCTAGCTCTAGTTGTTCTAACCCGCTAAGAGCGCCGTATAGGTCTGCGCGCTAACGTCGCGCTACCTATTATCGAGGATAAAGAGGAGGAAACAGATAAAGATAATTACGAGACTAAGGATTAGGATAATAAGATAAGCGATAATAAGGTCGAGGCTAAAGCCGCTAGTGCTAAAGGTAGCTAGTTCTTTCGACTAGAAGATAAAGGAGACTTCTTAGATAATAATAATGTCGAGCCTTAGATTGTCGGTACTGCTCGCCCTAGTACCGCTCGGAAGCGCTAGTTTCCTACTAGTTTAGTAGCTAAGAAGAAGAAGAAGCGTAAGAGTCTAAAGAGTCTACTATAGAAGTATACTAATGTTATAGACCTACTAAACTACGAGTACCTTACTGCGCTAAAGCTGCTCTTAATATAGGTAGGAGATCTAGGAACAAAGATATAGCGCCGTCGTATCGATAAGATTATCGATATCTTCTTATTCGAGGGTCTCGTAAGTACTTGTAGGCTCCGTTCTAAGTTAAAGAGGCTCGTTAGCAAGAAATTCTTTAACTAGTACGATCTAGACTCTACTATCGATAGACAAGAGAAGCTAAGTAAGATAGACAAAGTCATTAAAGACACAGCGCTAACTTAGTATAGTGTCCTATAGGGTTTACTTCCTAATAAGCGCTATACCGCTAAAGATATCGCTAAGGAAGATCAACCTAGTATCCGAGACAAATTTAGCCGCTAGAAGAAGCGCATCGCTACGATTACGTAGGTAGTTACTCGCTCGATTTCGCTAAAGAAGGCATCCTGGTTTAGCAAGTCCTTTAGGCTGTTCCTATATACTAGTAGTGTTAAGCGACGAGTCGTCGATATCCTTAGTGCGATAGGTCTATATCCGGCCTATCGTATACTATAGCGGCTTACGAGGAAGACTGCTCGTACTAACCGAGAACGGGCAGTTAAAATGTTTATTAAGGGTAGATATGTAATTGTATACGACAACTTTTGTATCTAGGAGAACCGGAAGGCTATCTAGACGACTAGTAGCAATACTAAGTAGCGCAATATAACGACCTCGTATATTGCTAGGCATTAAGCCGTCTAGAAGGGTCTAAAGAAGCATATACTAAAGCTAAAGAAGAAGATAAACCCTCGGATTATCCTACGCAAGATCTGCGCTAATAAGCATAAGAAGGCGACCTCTTTGTACTATATCGACTAGGCTATAGGATTCCTTACTAGCGATAAGCTATAGCATCTGTTTAAGGAACACGATAGCTTTAAGAGCCCTAATGCAGACGATCGTATTCGCGGCGGTAGTCTAACTAAGCGGTTCCTATAGCGTACGATCCGGATTAAGGACAAGAAGGATAGTAAGACTCTAATAATCTTACTGCTAGTATCCGATTATAACGAAGCCTCGATTAAAGATACGTACTAGGTATATAACGATATCTTCTAGAAGTTCTTGAAGCTCGATCTAGACAATAAGGCGTTCTAGGACTAGCTTATTATCGTTATCGGAGACTAAATAACCGTCGATCGTATCCGTAGTATTAAGCTCGGCAGCGTCGAGAGTACGCGCGTATACGATAGGAAGGACTTCATCGTCGGTATGCTAGCCTTCTTCTATATCGAGATAAATGCGTGCTATACTCCTCTACGAACCTATTACGATACTAATAAGGCAGGCAAGCACCTAGCCTATACCCTTAAGGACATCGCTAAGTATTATACTATCCGCCGCTTTAGTAGTACTAAGGCAGAGTACTACATCGTTCGATAGGTAGTATTCGTAGCATATCGTACGTATGTTAGTGCCTAATTTCTTTAAGAGGCAGAGGAACAGCTCGGATTCAATTTCGGTGCTCCTTAGTTTATAAGTATAAACCGTATCGAGGCAGTAAAGGCTCTAATTAAGGATTATCTTATACCTACGTAGTATGTCGACATTGTAGAGGCTATTTACACCAAGCTCTTTACGCAAGCTACTTAGACTAGGCTAAATATTAAGGGCGAGATAGAGGATCTATCGTATACTACGATAGCCCGACTACTATAGGAGATTAAGAACTTCCTAACCGTATATGTCGCTATCCGCAAGATAGACCTCGGATACCTGCGCCGTATAGTCGAGCATCTAATTCTAAACTTCTTCGGTACCCGACAGCTTAACTATAGCCGTAAGATAGTTAACCTGTCTTAGCTACTAAATATATCTAATGCTGTCCTATAGGAGGCAATCCTAGATTTAGCTATCGTTAATCTCGGTAATAGTAAGGGTATTGCTACTAATAAGATACTTAAGCTACACAATAAGGATTACAAGCTCGATATCTAGGCTCGTAGCAACTCAACTTATAATGTCTCTACTATAATAGAGCTAATCTCGCAGAACCGAGAGGCATCGCAGGCCGTACGTAGTATATTCGAGAGTATCGGACTAAAGGGTACTAGATACTATACAGAGAAGGATACTACTAAGCAGGTATAGGCTGGAGCAATTAAGAAGTACTAAGAGGGCAGTATAACACCGGATAAGTACGATCCGGATGCCAATTTTACAGATCTAATCGAAGTACTAAAGCTAGATCCACGCCCTATCTCTAATAATATTTAGCAGATTGGGGCAGGGCTAATCCCTAGTGCATACGAGTAGCTTAATAATATTAACTAGCGTCTGTTAAATAGCGTAACCCGTAGCGCTCCTAATACAGCTGCTAATAGTATAGACAATATCGACGGCGCAGATACGAGAGAGCGCGTTAGTAGTAGTGCTTAGCGGGGACCTATATAAGCAGGCATTATCGATGATGCTATAGCTACTATATACTAGCTATACGTCGACGCTAAGGGCTTTGCTAACCTAGACCTAGATATAGTAGATCTAACTAGTAGTCCCTAAAGGCTCTTATAACAGCAATAGGTAATAGTAGCGGTTATAGCGATTAAGGATTGAATGAATCTAGCTTTTGTATTCGTTTGTAGTAATCCAACCTGCTATATCTACTATTTAGGCCTTCCTTACTATAGCTAGCTAGGCTAGGCTAGGCTAGGCGTACGATGATAGCTTAATAGCCGGCTAGGCTAGGCGTACGATAATAGCTTAATAGCCGGCTAGGCTAGGCGTACGATAATAGCTTAATAGCCGGCTAGGCTAGGCGTACGATAATAGCTTAATAGCCGGCTAGGCTAGGCGTACGATAATAGCTTAATAGCCGGCTAGGCTAGGCGTACGATAATAGCTTGATAACTAGCGTTACTAACTAGCGGCAGTCGGAGTCTTAGTTAGAGTAGAGGTCCCTACTATTAGCTTCGCTTTAGACTTAGTTCCTATATAAATTCAGAGCGCCTAATGCTAAAGAAGGCAGAGCGCCTAATACTAAAGAAGGCCTCCGGTAATTTCGAGAACTGCTAGCAATTCTAGCCTTAGGCATTCAACTAGTAGCAGTCGGCGGCTATTGCGTTAAAAGTGCGATAATGTATAGCCGTTATTGTTGCCTTGCTATTATAGCGTAAATAGCGCAATCCTATTAGTAGAGGCAAACCTTACCTACGAGGCGTATATAGATATCCGCTTTCTAACCTTAACTTCTTCTTCTTCTATATATATACTAACATACTAACACCCCTAGCAATATACTAGCTGTCGGCTCTTAATAGCAATAGTGTCGATACCTCTTTGTCGTATATAGGTAGCTCTATAGCGATTAACACTATCTCCTAACTAGTCCTACGGCTTACTACCGATAGAACCGCTTAAGTTAGTTAAGGTTCCTCGGCAGGTAGTTTATTTAGTCCTTTTAGTCTCCGATAGGCTTTGTCGATGCAAGACGTTGCGAAGGCGACTCTCCTAGCGAGTAGGTTGTTTTCTATAGCTTTAGCGGGCGTCGACTACGCATTTAACCGAAAGAGTATAGTTTTTGTTAGAACATCGCAGTCTTAGTGCAAACTGCAGAGGTCTTAGATAGATTAGCGGAGGTAAAAACTCTTTAGTAAGGTACACCTATAATGCGGCTAACGGTCTAACTCGGTAAAAACTCTTTAGTAAGGTATACCTAGAGTAGCGGCTCGATAGCGACTCTCCTACTAAGTAGATTAATAGGTTCGTAGCATTGCTATAGGCCTAACTCGGTAAAAACTCTTTAGTGAGGTACACCTTAAGTAGCGGCTATAGGCTTCCTACGTTCGGATTCTTTATAGGATAACATACGCGCATCTAGTTAAGTCGGCGTAACGCCTTCGTTAGGACTATTAGTTATAATAACCTTGTTGCGTAAGGGCCTCTAGTATACTCAAGCCCGAAGGCGCTTAGTCTTAGTCTTTACTGCTATACGACTGCAGCCCTTTGCGTATTAAGACTGCTATTCGACTATAGTACGCACCGAACCGAACCGATCGAAAGCGTATTAAGACTATTATCCGACTATAGTACGCCTCCTCTTCTAGTAAGCGCATTAATATTACTATACGACTGCAACGCGCTCGACAACCCTTTTCTGCGGTGTCTCTAACACTAAGGGCGCGGTTACACTCTATTATTGTCTAGGTACTAATAAGTGTCGCTTTAGCGAATAAGCTGTTATTGTTTCGCTTAATAAGTCCCGTCCTATATACCTTGTCTTCGGCTATACGTACTATAGTTAGTAATAGAATACGTTGATTATTGCGCATTACGCGTAGCATATAGGCTATGTATAATGCTAGTGTACTTCGGAGTGTATGCTTCTATAGCCGCTTAGTGCCGCTAGTTAATTAGATCCCCGGACGCTACTATTCGTTTTCTCTACCTTATATAGTAACTAGTTATCGGAATGATCGTTCTAGGGAGAGTCTAAGCAATAGAAGGCGTTAACGTAAGAGGGCTGTCGTAGCTTCTCGAAGAGTGCTTGCGCTCGATATATATTATCGCCCTACGTATCTATCCTTGCCGTATATATTATAGTGCTAATGGCTGCGGTATAATAAGTATAGTACTAGTCTCGCTAGTCTCGCTAGTCTCGCTAGTCTCGCTAGTAACTTCTCGCTAGTAACTTCTCGCTAGTAACTTCTCGCTAGTAACTTCTCGCTAGTAACTTCTCGCTAGTAACTTCTCGCTAGTAACTTCTCGCTAGTAACTTCTCGCTAGTGACTTCTCGCTAGTAACTTCTCGCTAGTAACTTCTCGCTAGTAACTTCTCGCTAGTAACTTCTCGCTAGTAACTTCTCGCTAGTAACTTCTCGCTAGTGTTAGTAACTTCTCGGGTTTCGGAGGCGGTTCTTAGTGCCTAAGGCGGCCGTCGTTATCGTATTAGACACTTTTGTTAGCGCTATTTGCTAGAAATGCGCGCAATCGGCGTATCTCGCTGTATTAGTAATATGCTATTATAAAAGTCGTAAAAGTCGTAAAGTCGGTGTTATAAATACGCGGAAGGAAGCAGCTATAACGTTTAATCCTACCAATTAAGCGCTCTACTATACTAAATCCGGGGTCTTAGCGGGACTCGGTATCCTTGTCGCTTCCTCGAATTTACGCTTCTCGCCTAGCTCTTATATACTATCGATACCTACGACTATCTATAAACCCTCGTCGTAAAGAACACGATAGATAGCCTACTTAGCGAGCTTATAAGGACACGATAGAAGAGCCTGCTTAGCGAGCTTATAAGGACATAATAGAAGGGTAGTAAGGAAGGACCTTATTAAATGCTATCTCTAGCGCTATCTCTAGTGCTAATTCTAGCGCTAGCTCTCGTAGAAGCAACTCAACTAGGCACTATACGCTAGCACTCGCAGAAGCAACTCAACTAGCTCTCGTAGAAGCAACTTAACTAGGCACTATACGCTAGCTCTCGCAGAAGCAACTCAACTAGGCATTATACGCTAGCTCTCGTAGGAGCAGCTTAACTAGGCCTGCTCTTATAGAAGCAACTCAACTAGGCCTGCTCTTATAGAAGCAACTTAACTAGGCCTGTACTCGTAGAAGTAACGCGATCGAGCGTAGTATTACGGCTCACTTTTCCGGGGATAGGACAAGGACTTAGCGAGCTTACAAGGACATAATAGAAGCCTTATTAAATGCTAATTCTAGTGCCAATTTACCGCTAATTCTAGTGCTAATTCTAGTGCCAATTCTAGTGCCAATTCTAGCGCCATTTTACCGCTAATTCTAGCGCTAGCTCTCGTAGAAGCAGCTCAACTAGGCATGCTCTCGCAGAATATTATATACTAAATATTAGTAAGTCTTCTATATCGTTACCTTCCTACTAGCTAGCCTTACGCCTACGCTCTCTCTCTCGAGCCGATAGTGTACGGCTATAGCCTAACCGACGGCTTGATCTACTATTACTATCCCCTGCTTAGCTGCCTCCTACTACTTAGCTGCCTCCTGCTACTTAGCTAACTCCTGCTGCCTAGCGACGCGCAGTTTCCTCGTAATCTAGATCCTATATGCCTCTAGTGTTCCTTGCTACTATCCTCTTACGAGCCTCGATAGTAGAGCGGGCAGAGTTCTGTGTATTCTTCTATAGCTGCTTACGGCGCTGTTGTTAGTTAGTAGGCCGATTGGCGATAGGTTGGCTTGTCCGAGTTATAGCGGCAGTAGTAGCAGTAGTAGTAGCAGCTTCTTCAGCCTTCTTCTTCTTCTCGGCATCTCTGTTTCTAACGAATATATTATGCTTAGCAAACACGCTAAAGATAATGCGATTTAGCTCTAGTAGGAGGTCTTCTTCTATCTAGATCTCTCGAAGGTTATTAGCCTCCGCTTAATACTAGGTATAGAACTCTATAGCCCGCTCCTAGATGTCCGCCTCTTTAATTAGGGTATCGTAGTCCTTACTAGAGGCATGGTTTCGAAATGCATTCTCGGTCCGGCCGTACTTAGCACTAAAGATATTACATAGATCCTATAGAATAGGCTCGGGTACTAAGAAGGTCGATAGGATAACCCCGAAGAGGCGATTATCGTACTAGTCTAGAAAGATCTGTTCTGCGATATTAGATACGAAGCTCTCGAGGAATAGGAGAGTATAGTACTAGGTTGATCTAATACTAGGAGCTGTTAGTAGCTTTAGAACTACTAGAGCAGTATAGCCCTCCTAGACTAGTCGATCTAGTAGGTCTAGATTACATATACTGCAGCAATCGGTAGTGCCTACTACGACCTTGTTAACACTATACGTATACTCGTATTCGCTATATATCTCTAAGATTATATTACGAAAGCAGCGGCGATATTCTAGGTTCGGGTAGTAGCGCGTATTCTATAACTATAACTAGATATCTAGTATATTGTTACGCTAGCCTATCTCTTTAGTAGACTAGGACTTCTTAGTCGCGTTCTCGGCGATTGCTATTACGATAGCATTATAAAAAGGGTAGCTAGTAGTTCGAATAGGACGAGGCGGCATAGTGACTACTAGTAGATCGGTAACGATAGTATCCTTATCTTCCTCGCCTATATCCTAGCTATACGCATCGAAGATAGACTTATCGACGTCGAATTCCTTACTAGGAATAGTAGTATGCCGCAGATTGGATAGTCGTACTAGAACATAATCCTATACTTAGTATAGCCTAGCACTAGCACTAGCACTAGCGCTAGCTGCTATCGGGTCTCGTAGAACTATCGAGCGGTAGTTAGAACCGTATAGTATACGCTTCTCTATATTATTTAACTAATATAGTGCGAATATAACTGCTAATGCCTCGATACTAGGAATGCGAGCCGCACGACTAAACTTCTATATTAGATCGTCGACATCCTTAGTAATTAGAAGCTTAATCTAGATAACTAAGCCGACATCTAGCACGTTTACCCTAGTAGAAGTCGCTAGAGTGCCGAATAGGATACGGATTTGAGACTTAGGCTTCTTAAATTCCTTATACCGCTTATTCTTGTTAATGTCGGCGATATACGTAGTATAGAAAGAGACAACGCCGAGCATACAGATAGTCCTATAGCTACTAGGTACTACCGGCTCTCTATCCTAGGTATACTTCCGAGAATGCTGCTTAGCCGGCGAGTCCTTATTGATATTACTAGTTAAGAGTACAAGCTACTAGTATATCGTAACTCGAGCCTTATCGATCTGCTTACGACTATCGATAAAGATAATAGTCTTCTAGATATTCTGTAGTACCGCCAAGCTATCGGCGTCTACTACATACCTAAGTACGAAGTACAGGTAGTCGAAACCTGTTATCTAGCCCTAAGGCATCGTTTGTAGGATATACTTAGTATCTAGGCGATCGATAGTGCTCTAGACAACCTAGGTCTCGAATACGCTATCGCCTTATATACGGAGGCCGTGCTAAAGCAGATACTTCTTAGTTTCCTTAGTTAATGTTATAGAGCATACGAGAATAGTCGTATCCTATGTTATAAGCTAGCGAAGGAGGTAAAGGACTCTATAATCTGCGCGGAAGTCCTTCCACTTAAGATATATATACGCTTTATCCTATACCTATAGGCTAAGGCGGTCGGCAATAGTACGTAGGACCTCCTAGAACTTAGTACTTATCGCTTACTCGGGACTATAGATGATATACTAGTATCGGCCTTCTTTAATATTAGTAAACATAGATAGATCCTTCTCCTTTGTTTAGGTAGTAAGGATACAGACCTTAATTAGATCCTGTTCTTCCTTATCTAACTAGCGGATAGCGGCTACTATATCCTCGCTCTACTTATTAGCGATGCGTATAAGTAGTACGATCTGCAATGTAATAAAACTAGTAAGTATAGTATAGGCCTAGAAAATAATCGTTTTGCTAGCGCTAGTACGAGCTAAAAGCAACATATCCTATCTCCCGAAGATAATAGTATAGACGTAGTCGAGCTACATCTTAGTCGGTTCTAGTAATAGCTCGCGATAAGGATGTATTAGCTTTAGTATATGCCGTAGACTATGCTCGACAATGCGACGATAGAATAGCATCGCCTATTAATTGCTACTAGTATCCTATATAAGTAGCTATACTTCCTCGAGGCTATACTCGTCTATATTAATATAGCGCTCCTCGAAGTAGGCTATCTAGCTAGCCTTATTAGCCTCGTCTAGATTAGTAGGCATCTCTAGCTTACGCTCGACAGTCTATTAAGGCTCTATACGATTAATCGCTAGACGACTAGGCAGGCGGACGAAGTATTAGTCGCCTTCCTTCTTACGCCGATTGCTAGTATCGTCGCCGATATCGAATCTACCCTTCTTCGCCTTATTACGATCGCGCTTTAAGAGGTTAGAGAGATCGTTCGGCATTGCGGACGCCTATCGCTCTATTAGTAGAAGTAGTATCGCTCTATTAGTAGAAGTAGTGTCGCTCTATTAGTAGAAGTAGTGTCGCTCTATTAGTAGAAGTAGTATCGCTCTATTAGTAGACAGTCGGAACCTAGCAAATAGTAGCGTACGCGACTGTACGAAGCGGCAACAATCGCGGAGCCGCAGAATAGTAGGTCTCGGGGCTCGAGTCTCGCTATCGCTATCGCTACGTAAAGCACTAGATACGACTCGGAGACACCTAATACTAGAATACTATAATAATAAGTAGCGCTTAAGGCCAAACAGGATCGCTAGTATATTTAGAAGGTGTCTAACAAGTTTTAGTATACTAGGTATAGGTATAGGTATTAAGGTATAGACGATTTAGCGATTTAGGCTGTTTTAGGAGTAGGTACCGATAGGCGGCGAGAATAAGTAAATAGTAGCAGATACCGGATAAGGCGACACTTAGAGGTATTAGGGGAGTGCTTTCTAAGGCTCCTCGTATAGGCAGTGTATTCTAGAAGGGGTTTGTTGTCTGTCGCGATATAGGTGTTTATAGAACAAACGCGAAGCCGAGAATGTCCGTATAGTTAGAATAGACTATAGCCTTTATTTTTATAGTACTGAAATTTTGAAGTAGGCTAAATTCTACGTGTATCTATAATATAGAACCCTCTCTATACAAGTCTAGCGGCAGCTACGATAGTTGTTGAGTTATAAGCCTATCTAATATCTCTAAGGAGGTGTTGCAAGCAAGGAATCGCCCGATTAGTGCAGTTTGTCTTTAGGCGCTTCGCTAAGGCTCGCTCTTCCTTCTATACTATACTATATTGAGAAGACCCGAGATCCGGTGCACGTAGAACATAAAGGAAGTCACGAGCACAAAGCGAAAATAGCCTGAGATGGAGGCAGTCAAAGAACCCCTAAGTCCGAGGAAAGATCCGAAGATAAAGAACCATCGTCGACCAAAGATATCGGAGAGTTTGCCAAGCATTAAGAAGAACACAGCACCACCGCAGATGTTAACGAGCGGGACCCAGTTTATATTAGGCGAAGGGCCGATGTCTGCATCGATAGCTCCAAGAATTGGTGCAACAAGACCGAAACCTGCCTCAGATGTCACAGTCATATAACTCTCGTACATCGTGAAGTAATGCTCACCTCCAATGCCACCCATAAACGCCATACCGATGGCGAACATGGTACCAATGTAGTTGGCAGAGAGCCAATACTTTCCACTAATCTGATCAGAATTTCTGCCCTTGGCTTCCTCAGCACGATCATCGTCTTCTCGGTGATTCATAACCGTCGCATCACCAACATAGTCGCGAGGGTGCTGTCCTCTATGCTCAGCCTTCTCGTCGTATTCATGATGCTCGACAACACCGCGATCAGCAGAGAGTCGTCTCTTGATAGCGTCTATGAGGATGTCTGAAGGACGACAATAGAAAATCTAGTCTAAGTGAATAGCACAGGAGATGAGGGAGGAGAGGGCCCAAGGGCGAGGAGGACGCTCATATTTCATTGCTTCGTGAGAAGCCACTGCTATGGAAACCGCCGGGTCGAGGCTCGTGAGTTTCGATGATAGCAAGACGGTTCAAACGTGCTTGTGGGGATAGCGTCGGGGTAGACCCAGACTTCTCCAGATTTCCCCAGACATGCATATCGATCTAAGGCATGGTGAAAGCTCGTTGACAATCACCAAAACGTGATGGAAGGATTCAAAGCCTCACTCGTGACGACGCCGCTTGCCAGCCTCGAGGAGAGTTTTTGAAAGCAGGTGGAGGCCGCGGCGAGGCTGGCTGTAGTCTTCTGGGGCAGCAGGAAATGATGACGGGTTCGAGAGGTGAAGTCTCAATAGATCTATTTCTCACGACCACCTTCTTAAATCATCTCGATACACATCCATCGCCGTCCTTTATTCATTCACAACCAAACCAGCATTTTCTCTTTCATCGTCCTCTCTAACACCTTCCCATCAATCCACGCCACCAATACACCTCGACTCGAGGATCCTAAATTTGAGCGAGGCGTCCCGCTTCGTTCCGCCCTTCTGCTACGATTAGACGACCAATGATACAATATGAATTATGCCACTGCGGCAGGCAGGTCTAGATCTCTGAGTGAGCCACTGAACTGCAAAGAATGTCAAATCGTCGGGCAGGAACGAGCCGCGTACAGAAGTATTCGTGGCGATACGGACGGCAGTAGGACACAAGAAAGGATGGAAAGACCTGTCTACTTCTTATGTGAACTGAATTCCTGGCCTGCTAGAACTACTGCGTCGGAGCAATGAGTACGAGGTCTGAAAGGAGCATCTCAGATGCTGTAAATTCAGCCACCGGCGGATAACGTTGGACAATTTGATATCCACGAAGACGATGCTTGCGATCTTGTGTGGCCATGAGGTTGTGAATGAGAGTACAGATGAATCGAATGTGTACACGAGCATCTTGGCGATCGGAGGAAATGCAGGTCTTCAGATCTCAGAATCCTCGCCCACGTTCAATCTCCAGCATGCCACGCGAGAAGGCGTTTGGTACCTGTGGTTTATGCGCCTGGTAGCTCCCGCGGTCCGTTCTGACGGCAGACGATGCCCAGTTCTTCCGTCAGATTATCGTCGATGAATAGGAATAACCAGGTGGTTCCACAAGTTCGACACTGAGGCTACTGACCGCACGAACGGCATGCGTGAAAGTTTTCCCACTCGTGCTCTGCCATGTAGGATTCATGGAGACTTGGCGACTTCAAACATCGATCGTGGTTGTCAGCAAAAGCAAAAGTGCCGACGAGGGCTGACGAAGGCTTGCAGGCCATGCTTTATGCTTTCCTCTCTACCAAGCGCCTCGCTAAAACAAATTTTCAGATCATAGTCATCAATAGTGGGCGTGGTCGTGGCTGCGCCCGCTTCACCAAAACGACCAAACCGCGGCTGCGAGGCTGCGCTTCCCGCTGCCCAATTGGCGAAAGCGAGAGTGGTAACCAGGCTCTTCAAAGTCACCGAATATCTCTTTCATCAGTGCCTCAGCACGGATCGGGCTCTCCATTCAACGCTCGAATTCCAATTCCTCACGACAGATCAAATCCCGCTCCGCTGTTAACGGCAGCGAGCAATTTCTCTCTCAACACCGCCTCGCTCTTATACATCGGCAGCTTCAGGAGATTTACGCAGGTACTCGTGGTGGGATACCGATTCTCATCGCTTCCGCTATCACGAATTGAGAATCTCGGATTCAAATGACCAAATCCCAGAAGCGGTCCACGAGGTGTCGAAGTGACGAATTTGAGCACCTTCCTTCGGTCTTGATCTTCCATCTTTTGCATGACATTCCAGAACATTTGCACACTCGGATGCTCCATTCCATCATTGCCAATGACATACGTACCGCCATACTGTGTGTTGCGTCGAAGATCATTGACGTCAATACCAGCAGCGGCACCACCGATGAGGATCTGGAGCTCTGACTGGTTGAACATGCTGAGCCAAGAAGGTTGAATGATGTCGCTGAGTCCACGGAGGAACGTGCGGGTTTGCTGGGAAGCTTGCCGCGCGAGGCGATATGCTGCGATCAGGTTGATGTATTGAAGACGGTTTTCGTTCGTGACGGCGATGTTACCTCCGTGCGGCACCAGATCGACTTCAACGACGCGCTTGCCGTCTGGCGGTCCGACTTCATCGGTCACTGAGAAAGTCATCCCTAGTTCTTCTGCATTGTCGGCGTTCTTGACCTGGAGCAGGCCTCGGTACAGGCCCTCGTCCAGCTCACGGAGATCGTTGATATTTGGCCTATAGTGCGACTCAGATCGTGCACTACCAGTCCCGCCTGTCAGCGCCCACTTCTTCAAGAAGAAGCCAGCGAAAGAGACGTCCACCAGTATTCCTTCATACAAGCACTTTCCGATGATGCGACCGAGAAATTCGTACTGCCTGCCGAGATCGCGACACGCTTCTGCAACCTCAGGCGACCTTTCGCTGAATCCGTACAACTGGTGTTGCAATTTCAGATCTTCGAAAATGGTGGGATTGGGATACAAAAGGTGTTGATCGTTTTCGACAAAGAATCGGTGGCCGGACGCCTTTGGGTCTTGATCGAAGGCCTGGCTGATAACACTGGTTAGAAACTCTTTGGTGACTCCACCTCCATCGATGCCAGCTTCAGGCATGTCCCACTGATCCAGAAAAGTGATCTGGATAGGCTCTTTGAGGTCGGCACCTAGCTCGTAGAACTGCTCGTAGGCATCCTGAAACTCCTGCGTACGCTTGACTTTAGCATGGTGTCGTGCAAGAAGATCTCGAGGCGGCCCTTGTTGTGGCTGAAACATCATCTGCTGTCGCCAAAGATCTGGGTCTGTTGTGCCAAAGCGTCGCTTTTCTTGGTCGAGGCGAACAAACTGTCGGAAAATTTCGACACGAGTGCGAAATGGTATGAAGAATGGCATGTTCTGGAGAATTTCCAGCTTCGGCGCCATTGACTCCAAGTATCGCCTCCTGCTTGCCTTTCGTTGTGCACGTGCTCTTGCTTCTTGAGAACGAAGTACCCGAGCGTAGGAGCTCGCGCCCGTACGCGGAGTGTCGAAGCGATCATTGAAGTCGGAGTCGGAGTCGTCATCCTTGTCCTCGTCTTCTTGCTGTTGGATGACATGTCTTGATTCTTCCTCAATGACAACGTCCTGCGTGAAGGCATCCATATTGAATCGCTCCGTCATCAACCAGTGTCCCTTTGGCAGGAAGTTCCGTCGAGAATCGCGTTCGTAAATAGCACGCAGGAGGCTGGTTACAACGCCTTTCAAGTAGTCTGAAGTAAGACCGGGGAGTTGTGCGACGAGTAAGGGTGAGTCGTTGGCCGATGAGTCGTTGCTCTGCGATGCGTTGCCAAATCGGCTCTTGGTAGTAAACAGTGAGCCCTGATCCCTTGCTGGCAAAGCGTCGGAATTGTTCAAGCTGCCAGCGTCGTAGACCAGTGTAAAGCCAAGATTCTTCAAGAACGTCACGAGATTGGCAACATCTGGTACAGGAACAGCGCTGTTCCTTTTGCTGACAGGACTCTTGCCCATGAACTCTTCGTCATCCATGATTTTGAGATCGAAAGAAAACATTTCCAAGAAGACAAGTATTATGGTCCAGTCGTCTCGTTCACGTGGTGACGGAATCCTGTTCTTCAGCAGCTGGACGACACCCCGTGAGGAAGACCATATCTCCGAAAAGACCTGGGTCTGTTTCGTTGCATTCCACAAGTAAGTGGTCGGTGAAGGACTGTCGACCCTTGTTGGTCCTAGGTGCAACCACATGCGGATTTCATCTGACCTGCGTGGAAAGCATCGTAATAATGTGAGAGCGTAACCAGCCAATGCTTGAGCGTCGCGATTGCCGGACAAGTTTTGCTTGCCGACCAGAAGATTACGTATGGAATGCTGGTGCAGTAGCGAATTGACCTGTTTCTGCATGAAGGTGTTCAGGGGCAGGCCAGACTGTACACTGGCCAAGATTTCATTATCATAAGCAGTGTTTTCGAGATCAAGCGGCGTGCTTTCGAAATCGATACTATCTGCGAGAGAACCAAGAAGTTGACTGATAGCACTCATAAATGCCATGCTCGATCGAACTTCAACGAGCGCAATCAGGTTGCCGAGAAGCCATACTCGCGATCTCGTCGACAATCCTCGCTGCGAGTCGTTCGCTTCAGACCTGGGAAGAGAAGGCGGTGCCAAGCGAGAAGCCACGGCCTCCGATAAAGCCTCCGCATCGATGGCTGTTCGGAGGAGACTGGTAGTCTCTTGATCCAGCGGTCTCGCAAGCAACACTGCCAAACCTTCATACGCCGCACGAGATTGGAGCGGGGCAAGAAGCGCTCCTTGCAAAGAGTCCTGAGGCAAGTCTGCTCCACTCGAGGTGAGGGCGTCATAGTAGTTCACGGCATCGTCAGAGGTGAATTTTGTCTGTCTCGCAGCGAAGGTCAAGATGCCCAACACTGTTCGATCGTTGTCACGATCCGGCAGTACCCGCGCTCGGAGTGCTGCTATGCAGGCTCTCTGGAGTTTCGAATACGCACGAGACCACTCGTCGCCCTTGCACTGCACCGTATCGCTCGTCGTGACTTGTCGTGTCCCATACCAAGCAAGTCGCTTCACGTCGCTTGGATCTCTTCTCGGACTGAAGAATAATAGCAGGCGCCGTAGCTGCCCAAGACTTTCGTCTGCTGTGCTGTATGCTCCGTTCGCTCTTTCCTCCTGTTCGTCCCAGATCTGCCGCCATATCTTGAATGTCCTGCGCCGGCTACTGTGCCCTCTGAATGTCTTCTGAACCTTTGACGCCGCCCGTGCTCGCTCCCTCTGAATCTGGCGGTTGATGCGATCCTGTTGCGCTGATGCGACTGCTTGCTGTGCTCCACTTCCGCCGGCGGCGGCCGTGCCGTTGCTCTTCGCGAACGGGTTTCCAGGCCTACCGGACAGATTCACTTGACGAGGCCGTCGACTGTTGCCGGAGAATGTCTGATACATCGTCGCTTAAGCCTAGTTGGTAATCGAAGGTCGATAAGGATAAGATGCTTGCGAGACACGTCGGGAGTCCGCAGCCGGTCGAAGTCAACTTGGAACGGGTCGGCATGGAAAGTGAGGCTCGCTGTGCGATCGAAAGGAAGATTCGGATTTCACTTCACCCACTCCCGCATATCGAGTGCATTCGTCGTTGCCACCAGCACAAGCTGAACGTTGGATGGCACTTTCTAGACGAGATCGATGCTGAGGTAATATCGAAGTTGAGCCGCAACACACGGAGCGGCACGTGCCGTGCAGTCATTGTCCCCGACGCAAGGGACTTGGGGACTTTACATGTAACCTGGCGACATCGGACAAACGCAAGTTCTCCATCATGGACGCGCGACCGCATTTGATTTCTGCGCCACTGCAGACTGCGGTGCCATCGAATGGCCCAGACTGACTACATTGAGCTGGACAGCCGTTCGAGCTCCGTCATGTCTGCGATAAGCGACAACAAGCAGCCATCCGCCAGCCACGTCTCCAAAGGCGCGCATACAACATTCAGCGAGCGATATACTGATGCGCCGCCCAGTCAAGAAGCAGCTGCCAGCTCCGATCGGCCAGGAACAGCGGATTCTCTTCAACAGGTCACGACCTGCGACAGTCATGCCGGAAGAACGATCGAATACCGCGTCTACAAACGGCGCTGGCTTGGTCTCGTACAGCTGGTCCTGCTCAACATCGTGGTCAGCTGGGACTGGCTGACATTTGCTGCTGTCTCTGAGACGTCGTCACACTACTTCCGAGTCAGCGAGAGCGCGATCAACTGGCTCAGCACCGGCTTTCTCTTCGCATTTGCCGCTGCGGCCCCGGCTGTGATCTGGGTCTTGAACCACCATGGACCTAAAATGTCAATCGTCATTGCAAGTGCGCTTGTTCTGGTCGGCAACTGGATTCGCTATGCTGGCACGCGAGCCAACAACGGCTATTTTGGCGTCGTGATGTTTGGCCAAATTGTCATTGGTCTCGCGCAACCATTCGTACTTGCTGCGCCTACACGATACAGTCAAACGTGGTTCAGTGATCGAGGAAGAGTGTCTGCAACAGCCCTTGCATCTCTAGCGAATCCTTTCGGAGGTGCTCTGGGACAGCTCATCGGACCTTTCTGGGCCGAAGACATTTCGGGCATCCCAAATATGGTTCTGTACACATCTATCATATCTACAGTTGCAGCCTTGCCAGCCATATTGATACCAGCTAAGCCGCCGATACCACCCTCAGCAACAGCAGCGGCAGAGAAACTGGACCTTCGGCAGGCATTTCGCGACTTACCCAGGAACGGCTCCTTCTTCCTTATTCTCATACCGTTTTCGGTCTACGTTGGCTGCTTCAATGCAACGTCAAGCTTGATCAACCAAATTTTTGAGCCATACGGCTTCTCTGAGACAGACGCAGGTATAGCAGGCGCCTTACTCATAGTGGTTGGACTTGTGGCCTCAGCAGTCGTGTCGCCCATTATTGACCGTACGAAGGCGTTTCTACTGGCTATCAAGCTCCTGGTTCCGCTCATAGCGGTAAGCTATACGATTCTCATTTTCATGCCGCAGACAAGGAAAATCGCTGGACCTTACGTTACCTGCGCATTGCTTGGGGCAACAAGTTTCAGCCTACTGCCCACTGCTCTGGAGCTTCTGACTATTGTCACACATCCCGTGAGCCCAGAAGTCTCGAGTGTGGTCGGATGGGTTGGAGGCCAGATGCTCGGAGCAGTATTCATCATCATCATGGACGCGTCGCAAGGGAGTTGGATTGGAGAACCACCAGAGTCGCTGAAAAGTGCACTTGTCTTCCAAGCTGTTGTATCCTGGATTGTCGTGCCATTTCCAATGCTGCTTGGTGTTTGGAAGTTCAGGAAAGTCATAATCGGCAACGATATTCCTGATGAGGTGATAAGAAACTATTCGACTTGAGCTTCCCAGTCGTACGTATCAAGGGCTTGGATGCGCCGCTTTCGCCATGCTGCAATACATGTGCCAAAGCCTGGTCCAGAGAGACCACATGACTTGCTGACACAAGTGGCATGGTCCTGCATTGACAAAGAGCACACCGAGAGATCATTGTCGAAGATGAGCTTCGACCACATCCGGCGAATTCGTAATATTGGGAAAGTCTTTGTGCAACATTTTATGCCATCAACATGCTGTCCTGCACTGATCAGTCTATCGACTCTTGTAGCAGATAGCTTCTGATCATGTCGCCAAAGACTCCCACTCGCCGACAGAATAGCTCGCCAGGCAAGCCCCCTCAAACTCCAAAGAAACGCAAAGCATGTATCGGCACGCCGCAGAACCCGTCACCTTCGACTCCGACACGCGCTCCAAAGCACAAGAAGGCCACCAAGCGACTTCCACGCGCAGGATCGCTCAAGAGGCTTAAGCTGGACGCAAGCCAGAACGGTACTCTCCAGAAGTCCATCAAAGCCAGAGAAAGAATGGGTCGCCCAATGACGCGAAGCTATAAATCAGCCTATGCAGCTGCCTTGGAGTAGTGCCGAGTAGCATATCTCGCAGCACTTGATTGTCTATAGCAAAGTTTTCTGCCGCGATATCCTCTCCTTGCGCGAGCCCGTGTAATCTCCCAGCCACTTCTTTACGACTCGTGGGTCGAGAACACATTGTATGTACTGCGTTGAGAATGTAGAGGGCAGCACAAACATGACATGCCGTGCACTCCAACCTAGCCACGGCCTTTCAGTACATCGTGATCTGTCGTGCGAGTCTCGTGGTCTGCATACGTTAATTGGTGCAGCTACCTACTTCCGCGGTCGCTGTCGCTATGATCCTAGCAAACGAATCCTGCCCTTCTTCTCTCGCAATCGATTCGTTATCATGGCCGACATCTTGTCGATGAACATGTTCGCGTCTGTCTTGTGCCTAAAGGCAATCATAAAGAATGCAATGCCCTGGTTAAGTAGCGCAAGAGGTACCTGCATGAACGGACCGGGATAGCTTCATATATAGTTTAAACTTACGCAGCCGCTGTGGGGAAATTCAACGACGCCACGCGTTGTGCTTTTGCCCTTTCGCTACCAGGGATTCGTCGCGGGATCGGTCACAGCATTGCGCTCAGCCTCTCGCCTTTTCATTTCCTTTCCATTTCACGACACTCATTGACACTCGCTCTCGCTCGCTGGGAATGTCATGGCCGACTGAGCACCCTCACTGCGCTCACTGATGCTGGCAGACCCTCGCTTCCCAAGCCCCGGCAATCTGGACATGAGATCGTAGCATCGTAGCATCGAAGCATCGAAGCTTCTATTTTGAGCGAGCTGTCGAGGCACACCGTAATGAGTTACGCCCGGCAGCAATGAATGTAAGTGACTCCTCGCTAGGGGTGTCATTGTGTTAGTAACACCTGTTGTTAGTAACGTTAGCAACACTGTTAGTAACTGTAGATAATGAGGTGTAGTTGTTAGTAACAATAGGGCTAAAGACCGCTAACCTAAGAAGGAAGGTTAGGTCTATCTAACTATAGAAGAGACTATTATTGCTATAGAATATAGACTATTATATAGACTATTATTGCTATAGATACACTTAACTAAACTGTAGTCGCTAGAGCGCTTATCTATACGCTTCCGCACCTAGATAATTACTATATATCTCTAGCAACTGCTACCCTTATAAAGGTTGCGAGTAATTAACTAGAGGGTCGTAGAAGCTAGAAGCCTAGCTATCTAGTAGCTTAAAGAAGGGCGAGTATAGTTATTATTACTAGCTCTATAGTAGTTAACTTGCCGCTAGTTAACTTGCCGCTAGTTAACTTGCCGCTAGTTAACTTACTACTAGTTAACTTGCCGCTAGTTAACTTAGTTAACTTATTAGAAGCGCTATAAAGATATCGTCGTAGTCGATAGTAGTAGCTTCTTCCTTATATTCTAGCTCTTGCTTACTAGCGCTAGTACCGTAGATATTAAATATCTCTTTAAGGTCGTATTAGTATAGATAACAAGGGTCGCTCGGTAGCAAGTAGTAGTCCTTTATTACTGCTTCTTCGAAGGCTAATAATACTTTTAATTCCGCCTTGTAGATCTCTTTCTTAGTTGCTAGCTATCGCTATTATATCTCTTATAGTTTAGCCTTGTATTGTCTCCTTACTACCTCTTCTATAGGCCTTCTACGTAAGGCGCGGCTGTTTATATAGATATAGGTATAGTCGTTAGTACGGCTAGCGGATAGCTTCGAGCGGTAGTCGTTCTATATAAAGTTTATAGCGCTAAACGCTCGCTCGGAAGGTATAGAATTAGTAGGCGTTCTATATAGGCGGAGGGCGACTTCTACTATAAGAGGCGCTTTGCGAGATACGTAGTCCTAATAAGCAGTAACATTGCTACGCTTACGGTAGCGACCGAGCTCGTTACGGACAGCGAAGAAGCGTATTACGGTTACTCGCGACAGATCGTTAAGTAACTTCTTATTACGTACAAGCCGAGGCTTCTTTAGAGAGGCTAATATAAGCGGGAGGTAGAGACAGAATAATTAGTATAAAGGTAATTCTAATTAGTAAGTAGGTAATATAAGTTAAACGCCTCGAGCTATAAGGGCATTCCGGCGTTCCTAAATATAAAGGAGACATCTTATCTATAGTCGTAAGCGACGTAAGCGACGCTATCGCTCTCGACCGCTCCTATCGCTCCTAGTAAGATAGAGCGACAGCTTAGCCTACTAGTCTTAGCGTCGCTCTAAGATTATATAAGGACTCTAACTAATTAGATCCGTAATACTATCCCCCTCCTTAAGCGAAATAGTCCCTTATTCTAGAACTTTCTAATTCTAACTTCTTTACTATACTAAAGTTATTAAAGGACTTGTCTTCTCGTTAGCGTAAGGAAAATATCGTAAATAATATCCTTACCGACTACCTCGAAATACCGATCCGCTACTTTTATTACGAATAGGCTAATAAATCCTACAAAGTCGATCTCCGTTCCGGTCGCTGCTCCGAGTGCGCCCTATACGGCTAGTCCTATAATATACAAGTTACTCGTATAGAGTATAAAAAAATCCGGAAGGCGCGCCTAAAGATAGCTAAAGATCTCGAAGTAGCCGAAGAGGAGGAGGACCTCCTTACGCGGAAGCTTTTCGAGTATCGCGTAAAGGTCCGTCGCTTACGTAAGTCGCTACGTATAAAGGAAGATCGGGAGGTATAAGCTCTTAAGGTAGAGGAAGCCTCTATTTAATAGGCGGAGGAGCTCGAAAGAGAGCTAGGCTCTTCGCCTATAGAGCCGATAATATTCTCGTTACCTACTAACGAGCCGTTTCCCCTAGATAGCCGATTATAGATGTCGCCTTATAACTAGAGTCGTCTAGATAGGACGTCCTAGCCTACCTCTAAAATTCCTAGTAGGAGTGCCGAGAGTCTAGTGTCCTAAAGGTATATATTTTTAATATTTCCTATCTATTTTATCTTCTAGCTAGTTAGTCTAGTAGTATAATTCTTAGCTACAAAAGACATAGTTGCTAGGTATGCTATTAGAGTCCCCGCTCCTCGAGCTACACTGCCCTAGGTCGTTAAGAACTCTAAGGCGCTATAATCGATAGGGTCTAAGAGGTCGTAGGTTTAATTCCTATACTAGTTATTTCTTTTTTGTCCGGTTTTGATATTCTTTAATTATCTGCTAACAGTTCTGTAGGTTTTCTTTTAGTTCCTAAGTGTTTTCTAAATATAGGTATCCTTTCCATTTAATAAGGTATTTCTAACCTTACTAATCTAGGATCTTTTCGACTTTAAACTTATTTTCTTCCTTAGGTTAGAAGTGAAATGTTTCTTAATACGGTGTTTCGGCGTCTGTAGGTTCTAGTATAGAGATATAGAATACTAGGTAGATTTTTGCGTCGTCCGGTAGTTTAAGTCGGTAATTAACTAGTCCTTTAGGCTTATTAATCAAAAATGGCCCGACTTTAACGTAGTCTAGTTTCTTAGTCGATCTCCGGGTTTTCGGATTCTTTATTAGGAGGTAGACCTTATCCCCCTTCTTTAGCTAAGGTGCCATTTTTCGTTTAGTATTATATAGTCCCGTAATCTTTTCTTAAGACTCGGCAATTGCCCTTTACAATTCTTTATATACCTGCTTTAAGTCTTCTAAAGCGACTATCGCTTTATCCGCGTATAGATGCTATAAATACTATTCCCTAAACAGCTACGAATGTTTCCTAAAATTAGCGAAGAATAGTGTCTCTTTCGTAGTCTTAGATTGTTAGTTGTTTAGTGCAAGTTATGCTATAGGCAATAGCGATGCCTAATTGTTTTATACGTAATTAACGTAGTGCCGTAAGTATACCTCTAAGGCCTAATTCTTAACTTCCGTTTGGCCGTCTGTCTATAGATAGTATACCGTTAATAGCTTATACTTAATCCAAGCGTCGCTATAAGCGTCTTCTAGTAGTTTAACGTAAAGAGCTTGTCTCTGTCCGTAATATAGGTCTTTAGAAATCCGTAGTATCGTATAAGTCTATCTAGTACGAGGTATCCGAGTTGCTCTGCCGTACTTACTTCGTTAGCAGGAATGAAGTGTATATATTTCGTAAGCCTATCGACTATAACAAGTATTATGTCGTAGCTATATCCTATAACCGGATCCTTAGACTTCGGTAGTTTCGTAATAAAGTCTATTATAACTTCGTCCTATAGTTTATCTAGTAGCGTCCTAAATTAGATATGTCTATATCTAGCGTGTCTATTAGCCTTATTACGCTAACATTGTAGATATTTCTTAATATATTCTAGAACTCGTTGTCGCATATATAGGAATCCGAAGCTTCGCCTAACTAGTTCTATTGTTTTTGAAACTCTAGGGTGTCTATTTTCTAGTCCGTCGTAGTGTTGTCGTATACACTCCGTAACTCGTTCCTTAGGTACTTAGTATTTCCTATATTCGATTAGAAACTGTTCTTCTATATCCTAAAGAACT